AGGACGCGCAAGGACGAGTGTCAACGAGTGTAGAGTATAAAAAAAAATGAAAAAATTCAAACAAAATGATAAGAAAAGGAAATATTGAAACGAACGTGACATAATGCATTAAATCGTACATTAATCGAAGGTACATATGATTCCTAATGAATGAACATTTCTTATCAGAGAAAAATAAAGAGAGGGAGAGAAAGAGAGAGAGAAAGAGAGAGACAGGGGTTGTAATCAGTGATATCGATCTACTCAAAGGAACTTTCACGAGAAAGGAACTTTCACGAGTCAGCAGCTTTTAATGCTCTTGTTAAATGACCGCCAAGGTGCTCCTCTTGTCCATTAGAACAAACTTTTCTTACTCCTTCTTTTTTTTCCCTTTCCTTTTTTTCCTATTTCTCTATTTATTTCTCTCTCTCTCTTCTTTGTTTTTTATTTCTAAAAAAGTTGTGTAATCTTTAAGACGATCCTCCGAGGAATCTATATTAATTTATCATCCATTTACATCTAAAATTGTAATTTTGAAATGTACTACAAGCTAGGTCTTTAATTGTTTCTAGTATTTATCGTTGGTTCATTATCCAGTTTAAAAAGAATTTTTTGTTCTTTTTCCGTTCCTTTTCCGTTCTTTATTCCTGTCGAATAAATTTGTGTAAATATATATTTATAAAAGCATGGGGGAAAAGTATCTCGAGTTTGCATTTTTTTATTTAACAAAAAAACATCAAATTTTTATTATTTATTAAATATTATTATTATTACTCTCGTCCACTATTTCCAACTCATATATTAATTGTGATATACGAATTGTAATATTTCAACAACAAAAATATATATAATAATAAAAGATATATTTAGAATAAAATATGTTGAAATAATCCTAGAATAAATGGAAAATTTGTTAAAATTTGTTCAGACACATAGAAAAAAAAAAAACAATTGAAAAATATATTATATTTGATTTATTTTTTTCGGGATGTATGATGTCCCAAAAAAAAAAAACAATGTAACCTTTAAAATATTATTTTTCATTTCTTCTGGGATATTTTATGAATATATACGTGTATGTATATGTATATGAGTGCACGTTAATCAATTACGTTACTTCATTGACTTTCTTTCTCATTGTTTTTGATCATTTATGAATTTTTAAGAGAATTACTATATCCGTATTGATTAATTTCCCTTGTGAGTTTGATAGCAAGAGCAGCAACAATTCGTGATTCGACTTACAATTAGAATCCTACACTTCGTATTTCTGACAGAGAAGAGGTGATTACTTTAAATCGAGTATATGACCATTTCAAAACTATGGCATGTGTGTGGTATTATGTGTGTATAAATGCGGGCGTGCGTGCGTGTCCTAGGACATATACGTGGCGTGTGCTTTTATTCTCTTTACTATTGTTCCTCTCTATCTTCGTCTCTATTATCCTTTCTGCAAATCTTTACTCCTTTCTATCTAACTCAATTAATTGTTCTACGCACAAAAAATACTGATTTATTCAATTTAATAACCAAAAAGATATCATTTACGGATGATCGATTATCTTTCTTTTTCTCTCAAATGACTACAAATCATTTCTATTTTTTTTTTTGTAACCTACTATTTTACTTTTATCTCCTTTTTCTTTTCCCCCGTCACGAAGAAATAGATTTAATCAAAAATTAATAAAGAATTGTGAAAAATGCGATGTTAAAAAAATTCTACTAACTCTAACGTTTAACTTTCTCTTCGGTCTAATTACAGAATTTTCTTTTACTATAATTTTTCAAAACTTCGCGTTAGTTAGTTAGTTGAAAGTACGTTTTTCTATTATTCAACAGTTTTATCGATTATTCGTCGTTTTAATCAATCTCTCGTCGGATATTATCGATTTATTTTTATTTATTTTTAAGCTTGCAAGATTTTTGACAAATAATGAATATCATTTTAAATCATTATAATTAATTGTACATCTAAATTTTCAAATATGTTCTTTTAAACATGTTTTCATATATTTATTAAATGTTATTTAAAGTGATTCTTTTTTCCTTTTTATTAAAATGGTTTCATTTTATCAAAACCCAAAAAATATTATCTTTCATAATATAAATCAAATAGTATCACAGAGATATTTGTACGTAGAGTGATATCCAATTGAGAAAAATTTAAGTTGAATTTAATATGAAATACGGGGTTTCGTTTAACATACGACTTCCATATAACACTATATGAATTAAACGTGTTATTGGAGGACTACTTATATTTATTGCTAGATATGTGTCATGTCTTTTCTCCAGTGTATCGATAGCTAGAACCAAAGTAAAGAGTAAAGAAATAAATTGCCGAAGGCCAATTAACGGGAAAACCATTTTACTTCTTTTTACACTCAACAATTTTATTTTACTACGAGAAAAAAAAACAAAATATAAATCAAAATATAAAGAAATTATCGAGTTATTTTCTTTCAAACAATTTTTTGGATTTTTAATTTTACGCATTTTCAGTTATAATAAAATAATATTAAAGTATTTTAATATATGTATTTGATATTAATTTAAATATTTTCTAAATTTTGTTTATTAAAAATATTTTTGTATATGTTTACTATTATTATTAGAATTGTTATATTATTATCATTATTTTATTTAAATCCAAAACATTAATTCTATTAAAACTAAAAGATTCACACCATATTACATCTTTAAAAAAACAAAATTTGTTTTTATTAAACATTTTTCTGTATTCATATTTATTATTATTATTATTATAATTTTATGAAAATCATAAAATTAAAAAAAAAACCTAAACTATTCTTACACCCCTATAGAATGATAAAAATATTTCATTTGCCATAGAATTATCAAAATATATGAAATTAGGTAATAAATAAGAGTAGACGCGTAACATTTGAATTGGAAATAGTTAAATGAGATTTTTTCAAATTTCCTTCGATCCCCATGGAAAAAGAAGGGGAAAAGAAGGAGGCAATGGTGGTGGTGGTGTATTTATAAGAAAACGATCTAAAAGAATGTTCTTTTTATGTTCACTCGAAGAACACTGTCGAATAGGTAGAATTAATGGCTCGTGGATTTACGATTTAAAGGGATCTGCCGCAAAAGTAGGGAACATTTAGACGAGGCCATATTTTCTCTTTCTTTCGAAAACCTCATACAGTAAGGCGAAATATAATAAAATAAAATGAACCAAAAATAAGAAAATAAAAAAGTGAAAAAGGAAAAGGAAGAAAGAGAGAGATTAGAGAAAACCCCATGAATAAACGGCAATGGCTGCGATGTTGAATATTAAAATTGTTCAGTCTTTTTCATCTTCTTCTTCTTCTTCTTCATGTTCTACGATCTACTTGTTCTACTTTTCTTTCTTCTTTTACAACCATTACTTACTTTACATTTATCAATATAATTCAAAAAGTCTCTTTTTCAGTTCGAACTTTTGATAAAGTGCAAAAAAAAAAGTTACACGAATTTCAACTTCTTCATATTTTTTTTTGTCTTCACCCCTCCCTGTTCTTTTCTTCTTTTTTTTCTTCTACCAACAACTTTGAATTTCTTTCTCTCACCTTTTTTTCCCTTACTTCTCCTTTTCTTTTTTTCTTTTCTTCTTTTCTTCTTTTTTTCTAGTTTTCTCCCCCGTTTTTTTCGAAAGATGATGTCCCATTGTCATTCGAGAATCGTACGAGCAACTTACAGCCGCGATACAAGAAAGCAGCATTGCTGAGCAATAAAACTCGAAGCTGGGATCGAACGTGATCGGCATTGAATTGAAAGTGGCAATGGAAGGTGAACCTTATGTCGTTGCACCTATCTTTTTCTATCTATGTCTTTCCCTTTCTTTTTTAATAACACGATCTCTCTCTCTCTCTCTCTCGGAAATAACATTTTATACATAAAATATTATTGATTTAATAATAATAACCTATTTTGTTTCTCTACGACATAGGTTTTGGATATTTTTATTATTTCATATATATTAATATTGAATTAATGTTTATGACAATGGACTAAGTGAAAAAACATTGGAAAAATGAATTTTATAATTTATTTGATTATAAATTTGTATAATTTTTGTTTATATATATACTATCCATAATTATCCGACACAATTATTGTATGCACATGCATGTGCGTGAAATAATATTTTTTGAAGTTTTTGCACGATTTCCATATTCAACAAGATACTTAGGAAGAATATTTCCCTTGAAGAGTGTAAGCTGCACAAGCAAAACGATTAATCATTATTACGAGGTATTAGATCTAAGGGGCGGAGATCTTGAAAAATGATACTCATATAATTTCACCTGTGTCTGAGCCAGAAAACGTAAAATATCTTTTGAATGAAAATGTAAAATTATATTTTCCCTTTAAAATGTGTTGTTTTTTTTTTAAATAAAAATTCCCATTTTCATTTTAAAGTATTATTTTGACTGTAAAGAATAAATAATTGTGTTTATCATCATATAAAAATTATTTTACATTTAATACGATAAATTTAAGTTAATTATAGTATAATATCTACAGTGTTATTGTAATAGAATTATAGTAGGAATTAGTATTGGTGGAAGAAGGATAAATCGCAAATACATTTAGATAAATGGATCTTAAACTCATCGGTATGCACGAATTTCCCTGAATAATTGTAAACCTCGAACGTGAGAACAAATACATTAAGACAATTCCAATATTTGATTTATCGAGATTAAATAAGAGAACACAAACATTTTGCCAAATGCTAATCGTTTCAATTGAAAGCATAATCCCATGGAATTGACACATTTTATTTTATCACACATATACAAATCTTAATAATATTTTAATCTCTAATAAAAATTTACATATACGTATTATTTACGATGATTTGAATGACCAAGGAAAAAAATAGGGGAAATAAAGAGGAATATTAAAGGAAATAAAGATAAAGCTATTTAGACCATAAATATTCATAAGTTACATATAATAATAAGATGGTCTGTCCAATCCAACTAACTAAGAGTAACTATCTGTTTCAGGTAACCTAATGGTAATTCTCGTGGTAACGTTTTCCCGTCGCTTACGAAGCATCACGAATTTCTTCTTGGCAAATTTAGCAGTGGCAGACTTTTGCGTCGGTATATTTTGCGTCTACCAAACTCTGATAAATTATTTGATGAATAGTTGGCGATTAGGTAACTTTCTTTGCAAAGTTTATATGTTCGTTCATGCACTTTCATATACGGCAAGTATTCTGATACTGATGGTTGTATGCATCGAGAGATATTTGGCAACGGTACACCCAATGAAATGTAAATCGATGTTAACGAGAAGTCGTTTAAGAGCAGTCATTGGTATCATTTGGATAATAGCAGCATTTTATGCATCACCGAGATTTATTTATTTCGAAACAATAAGCAACGAATTGAGCGACGGTGACGTTGATATCATCTGCGGACCTAATATGAAAAAATACAAGAAACACGTCATCGATGCAGTTAACTTCATCTTCCTTTATCTTCTACCACTCGCATTGATGTCCTATCTCTACACTAAAATTGCTGTACGTCTATGGAGAAGCGGGGTTGCTCTCGGTGGACCTGGCCTAGTAGCAAAAACTAGGAACGGTAGAGTTCAGCATATTCGTACTTCCTGCAGGAACGTTCTTAGAACAAGACGTGGTGTCATAAGGTATTCTTCTTATATTTTCCAACAATTTCTTCCCCTTTAAATACACATACTTTATTTATTCTTATATACACGTATATACAATACAACATTAGGCACCAAAAATTCCCTATTTATTGTCTCAATCAATTTTAAACTTATTTTGAAAATTGTTCTTTCTTGTTATTAACAAATTTTTAAGTTTGTCAACGGGATTAAATTATTTTTAGATACAAGATTTCGAAAAAAAAGTACATAATAGATTTGTAAAATTATAAAAAAGTTTTATTCTTCACCTAGAAATGTTCAGCCCACTCACATATGTTCTTATATGTGGGTATATATAAAGCTCATATATAACTAACCTTCCACATTTCCTTTCCCTTTTTATTTTATTCATCTATCTTATTTTCTTTCTTATTCTCTGTCTTCTTCTACTTCGTTTTCGGCTTCGTCTTCGTCTTTGTCAAAGAAAATTTGTTTAATATTTGACGTTTCTCCAACTCATGCAAGGTTCGTTTCTTCAAAATTATTAAATCGAGGGCAAATCGTCAATCAATGTGATCGAGTAACCTCCATTTATCTGAACGAAAGCATTGATAACGCAATTTACCACACTATTATTTTCTCCTCTTAACGATGATTTATTTTCGAATTTCATTTCGCGCACGTTAGAAATCTACGTGGCTTGAAAGAAAACACATGGTCTTTCTTTCAAACTCACACAATCAGATTTATTTAGAAGTAATGTTAAATAAAAATGTTCATTTTTATGAATACAAATAAATATACACTAATACATGCAAAAATATATTCACATACTTTAAACACCTAGATAAATATTACAAATGTATTTATACGTCATATAGAAAATATTGGGTTACTTCGAAAGTTCGTATCGATTTATAAATAAGTGAATATATTTGATATACACACATATAAAATAAAAAAATATAATATTTTTCATGAATAATTTCTATTTACATAAATGTACATAAAATGTACATTTTAAAAAATAATAAATATATAGATATAAATAGATTTAACATAAACTTTATATAAACCAGTAGTAGTAGTAGTAGTTGTTTCAGTTAACAGCGAAGAAAATAAGGTTGATTTTACAAATGCTTTTTACTTTTTACGATATAAACTTTCTTGGATTTTTTTCTTAAACGCGACTAACGAGATCTCGGAATAAAAAAAAAACGAAATTACTCTCCATTCGTACGAAATACAACACTATTCTTAAATCAGAACAAATTTTCCAAGCCATCCAATATAATATGCATGTGTTGCATAAATAAAACATATCTACCTTTAATTCTGATCATATCCAATATGTGTATCTACATATTATTGTGATATAATCATAGTTATGTTTATATTTAATTATAAATTGAAAACTAATTTGAAAATCTGATGTATATTTAACAGGATGCTGATTGCTGTAGTAGTACTTTTCGCACTTTGCAATTTACCGCAACAAGTTCGCATAATTTGGCTACACTGGGGTCCAAATTACGACCGAACTTCAAATTTTACAACTCTCCTGACCGTATCGACTTTCTTGATATCTTATACGAATTGCTGTTTGAATCCATTTCTCTATGCCTTCCTATCGCGTAACTTCCGTCAAGGAATGAGAGAAATTCCTTGTTGCAAAAGTAAAGGAGATCGTGCAGCAGGTGGATTGGCTTTAACTGGTTGTGCTAGTGGGGAAACAACAAGACAAGAAAATGGGACAAGCGGGAATCTCATTCCGCATAGTTTGCTTGTACGATTGAGTTCGGTACAAGAGAGTCCTTGTACAACACATACTATACCGAGAAGGAATACCTACGAGAAGAGTACCTAGTAGAAGTGTACCATTTCAAACACGAATATTCATTAAATTTATCTAATTAAGCTTAATTAAATCCAATTTGAATTTTAATAACGTAAAAGATATTTATCGATTTTCAATAAAAAAAAAACAAACAAAAAAAAACAGAAAATGATCTAAACAAAAAGATCTATCGATTGTATAACATACATCTCATGAAAGAAACAAATGAATTTCTGTTAGAGAAAAAAATGGGTACTTTGGTGATAACACTAAATAAGAAATCAGATTGATTTATAAATCGTGTGCTACCAAGTATCTGAACTTTAAAAAGAGAAGATGATAATGTCATCGGCATGTGATAACAATAATACAATGAAACTATTACGATCACGTAAAGCCATCATTTGTTGTTCAACGAATCGTTAAACTTTCTTATTTAAATCCAGATCAAGAAGCGATCTGGAATTCCTTGAAGTGCTTGTCAACATCCTACCTTAAAGAGAATATCTTCCTACCTATCGACACAGAAATAAATTTTCTACGTGCTAGAACATTTGCACGAATATTTCCATAGAATGTATATGTAATTCATAGGATTTACGTGCCAACCGCACATATACCATCTACCGTCACGACTACTTTACGATAAGTCCGAATTAGGGACTTATAGTAAGTCCGAATTAGGGCTTTTGAGCTTTTATTACATTGAAAATATCTATTAAATATGTATAATAAACAAAAATAATACTTTCATTGATAAAATAATACAACTATTTTTAAATAAATCCAAATCAGGAACAGGAGTTTAAATATTTATTACGCGTATAAATATATATATATGTAAATTCTTTTATTTAAAGAAATAGCTCCTTTCAAATAAGTCCAAATTAGAAAAATGAGAATTTGAAATTTTATTAGATTAACAATGTCCATTAAATATATTAAATAAAGAAGAAAATACTTTTAATTAAAAGAACAGCTCCTTTCGAATAAGCAAGAATTAGGAGCAGATATTTAAGCTTTTATTATATTAAAAAAAAATATCTATCAAATATATTATTCTAAGTATAGTAATAAAATAACATTTATCAAAAATAAGAATGAAAAAGAGAGTGAGTGAGATAAAAATTGATCATATAATCCCATCAAACAAAATGATACTTCACGCGGGCTTTCTCTCATGGGGAAAGATCGAAGTATAAAGTGCATAAATAGAAGTGACAAAAAATATAACTATGAGACATACCAGTTGTACAACATGTAAGTGGCACATAATATACTCTCATTCCTCTTACCGTTCGAAACGAAATCATTTCTCCTACCCACTCGGATCATATGTGTGAGTGTTATCGAAAGTATTATATTTCTTGTTCACTCTCTTTCTATCTATCTCTCTCTCTCTCTCTCTCTCTATCTCTATCTTGTCAAGTGTTATCTATTCCGATGAGGTCTCGAGTTCACAAGCTTTTAACCAGTTAAAACTGGTATTAAAGTAAAGAAGATTTTCAGTTGAACCGATTTATCAATGCCGGACGTATCAATTTTTATTGCATTCATTCAAATGATACTTATTTACTTACTTATTAAAAAATAAATTATTAGAAATTAAGAAACATAATTAATTACAAATATTAAAATGTATGGTAAAAGAAAACGAACGTAATAAGTCATAGAAATTCTATTAAAATCTATGTTATCGTAATCCAAAAAATGAATCCTAAGTAAGAGAGAAACAAATAAAATTCAATGCAATAAAGCAAGTTATTTTCCATACATGGATAAGATAATTTTCTACGTTCATTCTGCTGGGGGTATCCGAGTCGAAGAATTCTTATTAACAAATCAATATCGTGACGTACGTATCGTACGTTTGCTTATTTTTTAAAATGAAATCACTGAACCGCTAAGAAAGTAATAGTCTTCTTTATCTTGAAACAGTGAACAACTCATTTTGTAAATTTAACTACTTTATTATGCCACTATTATCTTAGATTAACTTTAAAAAATCAGGTTTTCTCAATTTGTTTGTTAAAAACAATTTACATAAATAGATGTACGTACAAATTCGTCGTATATTCATTAAATATAAAAATACAATTTAAACGTCTAATAGAGAAAATTTTTTTAAATATTTCAATTTTTGTTTTAAATTTCTTTACAAAATTCTAAACTTACAAAATGTTTATTTTAATATCAGATAGTAGCAAATAGTAACAACATTGCAATTTTTCTTTATTATTTAAAATCTAAAATGCACTCTCATTTACATTTTCGAATAACATAAAATTGTAAACTAGATCTGATAAATAGAAAGAAAAATAATAGCAAATGAAATGGCTTCTATAAAGCCACGTATATAGTCTACTTAAATACATATTCTCGTCGTATCATTATTACGAAATCAAATATTTTTTGGTAAAACGTGCAACAATATTTTTATCTCATTGGTTAACACGCTTTTAACTCGATCGAAAATTTTCTGGATTTGTAAGATTTTAACTATATAAAAACAAAAAGAGAGAGAAAGAGAAAGATAAGGAGTTCTCGAAAAAGAAAACAAAATCAAAAGTACTCATGATACGTATATCAATAATTATCGTAACAGTTATTATTCTTCACTGGGACCCCCAGCAAAGATTGCATCACTCGACATCGTGTGACCTTCTGATAAATAGAAAATATGTTCAACAATTTTCTTTATGAAAGAACAAATGCAGAAATTTGTGCATATTATTTTCTTCCTCTTCTTCTTCTTCTTTTTTTCCTTTTTTTTTAATAATCATTAAATTACTTTTTATTTTTATTTTTTTTCGTACGAGTAGACACAATTTAATCTATATGAATATAATAATGTTATTATTTCAACATTTTTGACAGATAAAAATAATTTATTAATGAATTATTTTGCTTCAATCAAAGATGATTTATATTTACAATCAAAATTAAATGATTAATATAAAAAGTAGAAAAGAGGCGCCATTTTGGAGAACACACTCTCTCTCTCTATTCCTTGTAATATTTGTAATATAATATATTAATTAATTAAGATTCCCTTTTATATATTTCGATTAATTGAAAAAAAAAGAAGAAATATTTAAAACGATAAAAATAATTTAAATATACATCTATTATTTTTATTTGATAAGTATATCATTTTTGTTTCGAAATTGGGATTTTTTAAATATTTTATTTTAGATACGATAATAAGATAAATGTAGATATTAATAGACATTTTGTTTCTACATTTGTTTCCTACTTATATTAGTATGAATTCACACTAACACATTTCACCAAATACAATTAAAATATAAGTTGTTCTAAACCTCTAACGAAGAAGCAGACAACAAATAATGTAAGAAACAGGAGCGAGGGAAGCCCGATTCCTTATCGCTGGAGTGGGAGTTAGGCTATAAGAAGATAATTGACTGTAGAAGTAAGCAGTTAGGTTTCAAACCAGCATCGAAGAAGGAACAACAAAGATACTCTTACTATATAATCATAACTACGAAATATAGTGAGAAAATCATTTCTATATCAAAAGAAAATCTTCAATTAAACTTTGTTCACTAAACGAGGTACGTTTAACGATATTTTCAATTAAAATTTTAATAATTAAAATTTCGTTTGAAATTATTACTCAATTGTAAGATTTTTTCACTTCAACCGTTCTATGCTTATTTTATATTATTTTTTTGTTCTTTTCTCTTCCTTTTTTTTATATATATATTAGACACTTGTAAAAATAACTTCAGTAATGCATATTTTCTAAACATATTCGTCGTAATAGAAATTAAAAAAAAAAATCTAGAAAAATTGATATTCCTATCCATATAATTATGAATAATGGGTAGCGTGTATTATTGCGTAAAATAGATGTAGATATTACATTCAAGGTGATTTAGTTGATCGAAGCACGATCGTGTTATTTTATATATACTTGTGTATTATATTTCTTTTCATATTCATTAACACTTGTTTAATTATAATATCATATATTATTAATATCTCTTTTCTAAATTAAAATATAACATGTTAATAAATTTGAAATAATTAGTTAACATTAAGGAAATATTTTTTAATTCGTTACTAATTTTTTCTATATATGAACAAGTATATAACTTATTCATTTATTAATCTTTATCTATCTTAATTATTATTATTTGAAAAAATAATTTTAACGTTAACGTATAAAATTATAAAATCGTAGATATAAATTGATGTAGAATATTATGACCTTCGTATCTTATTACCATTTCGAAGTAAACATCTTTCAAGGGTTATACTATGTTCAAGGATATCATGTCTATCAAATTGAGAAGCGTTCTCATAAGTGATCCGGTGGACGAGTCCTGCAGCTCTCTTCTTTCGGAATATGGCATTCCTGTAATTACAAAATACAAACTTTCGAAAGACGAACTTATTAAGGAACTACAGGTAATTAACAGTGAACATTCATTTGAAAAAAAAACAACTTTTCATTCTATCGTACTATCATAATTATTCAGTACATTAAACTATGCTTTACAAACAATTTTTTAACAAAACAACTAATTATTATTTTCCTTAACATTTCAGTTAAATTAAGTAGAAAACTTATAATAATTAAAGTAATTAGACAATTTATTAGCTTTGCAATCAAGATACGTATCGATTAAGTTGTTTCATCATAATAAATATTTTCTTTGATATTATAAATAATTTGTATTTATAAGTTCAATACAGAATTATATCTTTTGTTATGAATAACTTTTTTTAGATCATTTCTAAAACATAAATGTATAGAAAATTTGTTCGTAATTTTTCTTTTTTACTTAGCTAAAAGATATTTATTTTCTTTTTTTTTATCTATGCAAATAAATGTAGAAAATAAAAATAATATCAAATCGACTCGTTATATTCATCGATTGTGATAGAATACGAATTATATAATAGAAATAACACTTATAATCGATTTTCGAGTCAATATTGCCTATTTCCATTCGACTTCCTCGGTTCGAATCAAATCAAGGTTTTCATCGACATTCGTCCTATCTATATAAGTCATTTAATATTATTATTATTAATATATCAAATTTGAAAATACTCGAGAAATTGAATAGAAAGATATTTTTCCTATCTAACAAGAATAAATGATGTTATTTGAAAAATGCATACTTTCAATTTCATTTTGACAAGTCCAAGATGACAAGATAGGAAAAGAAAATAGGATAATATAAAAGAATAGAAATCGTTTATTTTTTTTTAAATTAACATTTATCAATCATAGAAAATATTGTGCAAAAAAATGTTCCATATATTTTATATGCAAAAAATGAAATATCGTACGAAATATTTCTTGCGAAAGCGTGTAATTCTTTTTCATAAATCGCACATTCCATTTGTCTAATTTTAATATTTATAAAATTTTACAATTAATATAAAATAAAAGAGAGAGAGAATACGAAAATAATTTTTTAGTCATAAATTGATATTTATCAGATATACAAAATACGTATGTGCATACAATTGAGTAAATAAGATATCTTGCGAAATATTTCTTACGAAAGTATGTAATTTTTTCCAAAAACTGCATTCCCCACCTAACTGTAATATTTATAAAATTCTAAAATTAATAGAAAATAAAAGAATACATATGATTATCCATACGATCCATTACTCATAAAGTAACTTTTATCAAACATAGAAAGCATGTACATATGTGCATACAATTGTGCAAATAAAAGACATCATATTTTTGCATAAGAAAAATATTGAATTTTATTTTAACTATATATTCTTTTATAAAATTACAATTGAAAATATAGAGAAAAAGAAGGAAAAAAAAATAGGAATGAAGGAGAGATCTGATAAATAAAAGTTTATAAAATATAGAAGATACGTAAAAGTGTCTCGCAAGAATATGCAAATTTGTCCTAGGCAATTATCTTTTAACCTATCATCCCCCTAGTGAGCCCAACCCCCTAGCCATCCTTTTTCTCATATACACAATTTCTTATAACATTTTAGTTTCCCTTTTTTTTTCCATCTCTTAATCCTGCCCTTGTTTCTCCGGCATCCTCGGAAAATAAGCTTATTTGTACGTTTTTCTTTTATCACTTGCAATTCGGTCTGCGAATCCAGTTCTATCCAGTTTTGTCGAGGAGGCAGAATACCAGTTAACTGCATAGGAGGTCGTTGTACCAGAACAGCCTGGAGTCTGTCTGTTTCCATCTCTTTCTCTCTAACACTCAGTTTCTCTCCTCTCTCCTCTCTTCGCACTTTATTCTTCCTTCTATCTCTTTTCCACTTTGAATAGCCAACTGGTTTGTTTCGTTCCTCCTCCTCCTCCTCCTCCACCTCTTTCTTTCTTTCTTTTTTTCCTCACAGCATTCACTCCTTCTCTGAATAACCTTTCCTACCTCTTTTTCTACCTTCATATTTCAACAGACTAAAGTATCGAAGCAGAAATTGCTTATATCTTTATATGAAACTTTCCGATCTCGATAGATCTTTATAAAGAAAATCAAAAAGACAGAGAAAAAGAGATAGTATAGAAAAATTGTAACTATTTATTTTTACCGATACAAATTGTCGAACTTTAATCTCTATCTTTTGATTTTATACTTCTAAGCAAAATATGATCAAAATTATACGCTACATTTGTTTTTTCCTGAAAATATTTCAAAAATATTCGATGATGAGTTCATTCTATCAGTTCGTTTGTAGTTGAAATATATGATCGAAATTATTTGTAATATTTTTTTGTCTTCAAAGGTTTAAAGAAATCGGTTCATTCATTTTAGTTTAAATATCATCGGAATAATTTGTAATATTATTTTGAAGAAGGAAGTTCAAAGAAATCTGATAATTATAAACCGCGATTCATTCCAAATATAATATTCTTTTATTTTTATTTTTTGTATTTCTTTTTAATGCTTAATTTTCGAAAATCAAAATATTAGAAAATCGTTTTTGGTACGTACAACAGTCGGGACTAAAATACGGCTCTTTGATCAACGCGTTTAATACCTATTGTGTTTGTTTAAGCAAAACTAACACAACTCGTGTAAATGAAACGTTTGTGGAAGTCGCTTAGATATTATGCATAATACAAACATCGTGATCTCACTTATACATAATTTTCAAACCTGTTTTCTACATAAATAGACAAACTAATAAAATATCAAAGTTTAAAAAGGATGAATTAATCAAAATATAATATAACTAATTGTTAATCTTTACGTGTTTATGTAACTAAATCTAAATCTAAATATTTACAAACAGAAATATTTATTATATTTAATTTTACAATTAAATTATAATATTAAGATAATAAAGTAACGCGCGCGCGATAATGTTCATATCTTATGTCTCGTTAAAAATGTAACAATAATAATAATTTCATTTTTAGAATCACGATGCTCTAATTGTACGTTCAGAAACGAAGGTCACTGCTGATATAATATCGGCCAGTTCAAATCTTCGTGTAATAGGTCGTGCTGGAACTGGAGTGGATAACATTGATCTTGAAGCAGCAACACGCAAGGGAATTCTCGTATTAAAGTATGCGTATTTTTTGTAATCTCTAACGTAATTATATTTCCTTTTATCATCCTGATTGTAAACAATTTCGATATTTGTTTAATTGTAGTACGCCAGGTGGTAACAGTATAAGCGCTTGCGAGTTAACATGTTCGATGATATGTGCATTACCACGTAACATAGTTCAAGCAGGCCAATCAATAAAAGAAGGAAAATGGGATAGAAAATTGTATTCCGGTTTTGAATTGTATGGTAAAACATTAGCAGTCTTGGGTATGGGTAGAATTGGTCGAGAAGTTGCATTGAGAATGAAATCTTTTGGTATGAACATCATTGCTTTTGATCCATTGCTGAAGAAGGAAGTTGCCGAATCTCTTGGTTTTAAAAAAATTACATTGGATGAAGCATGGAAAGTTGCCGACTACATTACTGTGCACACGCCGTTAATCCCAAAAACGAGAAGTAATTTCAACCAAATACAAAATTTAATTGTATTATTTTTTTTTTTTGCAATAGCATATTTATATCTAATGCATTCTATCGAATTATAGATCTGATAAACGCTACGACATTGGGAAAATGTAAGAAAGGTGTGTACATTATAAATGTAGCTCGAGGTGGTATAGTCGATGAAGAAGCACTTTTAAATGCATTGAAAAGTGGTCAATGTAGTGGTGCAGCCTTGGACGTGTTTACGGAAGAACCACCTAAGAGTCCAACTCTTATCGAGCTTATTAAACATCGTAATGTTATAGCTACTCCACATTTGGGTTGGTCATTGATCTTTCTTTATTTTAATAAATCCATATTTATGTTTTGAATGTAAATAACATACCTGTGTCATTGCAGGAGCTAGTACTGCCGAAGCTCAGCAACGTGTCGCTGTTGAGATAGCTCAACAATTTTTGGCATTAGCCGAGAAAACTACGGAATATTCCGTAAATGGTATCGTCAATGCTCCTCTTTTAGCTGCAGCAATGATGGAAGATAATGCACCTTGGATAGAATTGTCGAAGAAGCTCGGCCAGTTAGCAGCAAGGCTCGTTCAAAGGAAATTAAATACACCTGTGCATAGTCAAACTATTGGCCCGGATATGGAAGACAAAAAATTTATTCACACGTCTGTATTAGTTGGTATACTTACAGGTCAAACGAAAAATGGTTTGAATTTGATCAATGCACCGATTTTGGCTGAAGATATTGGTGTTGATCTCAAGGATAGTCATCTGCCAGGTAATCACAGAGCGGTATTGGTTACTGTTGGATCGCATCAAATTAAAGGTAAATCTATTGTTTTGTTTTTTACAAAATTAACATTATAAGCATTATATTAATTATGAAAATTGTGATGTTAATTAAACAGGAACGATTCGTGATAACCAACCATTATTAGTCTCTGTCGATGATGCTCTCTTTCCAAATGACATAGCACTGACGAATCATATCTCTCTCTACCGTGCTAAAAGTGTACAAAATGTGGCCGATATTGTTAATGTATTTTCATCAAAAGGTATTAATATAAGCGGTTTAAATGCCAACGGCAACTGGATAGTCATACAAACTAATCAAGAAGTCTCTATTCCTGTTGATGGCATTGAAAGTTTTTAAAATGCATTATGCATTTATTCAGAACTCTATTAGTCTCACCTAGACTCCTGTTGAATGATTATCCCAAAAAAACAATGGAATCGTTAGTTTCGTTTCTTCGATCATCTCAGTCACGAATTCGTGATCTCAGTATTTTAGAAATTTCTTATCTGAAAAGAGAATAACATAATGGCAAATTATATTAATTATAAAAACAAAAAAAAAACTTTTATTTAAACCAAAAAACTTGTGTAGTTTATCGTATGAAAAATTGAGACAAACGAGCTCAAAATTGTACATAATTATACATATATAAATATATATATTTGAATATGTTACAAACAAAATGTGATGAACGAAATGGCTCATTTTCGCTTTTTTTCTTGATATTTCTCCATCCGCTTTAGAGTCCAATTTTGTAAGATCTTATTAAACAAATTCATTTTCTCATGTGAAATAATTATTATTTTTCGATTAATGGAAAATCTAAGAGATCATAATTTTATCATTTAAACTTTTAAATATATTTATATACTTTTCATTAATATTCCTTTTTTACAAAACCCCGTAAGAAACTCTAAATGTATAATTTTATAATAATAATTTTATGCTCATTATAATAAAATGTCCACAATACATTTCGTAAAAATGAAGCGAAATAAAGAATTTATTTTTGGTATATCTTGTTACAGTTATTTTTTTATTCTTACATTGTCTTTCGCTTAAAAGAAAACCTTATTTAAAATGGATTTTGACATCTTAATTTTATAATATATTTAAATATATATATATACTAGCATTTATATTTTAAATTCATAGCAAATATCACATTTTTTTCATTTATAATATGTACAAGATGATATCCGTAGGCAAAAAAATAATAAATATATATGTATATTTATACATATACATAATGTACATATGTATAAATATACATATATATTTATCTTATCGTAAATCTGCTTATGTGGCTTTGTGATTATAAACACATGTATATACATTCTTGTGTATATGAGTATACTGTAAAAAATATGTAAAATAATGAATATTCACAGTAAAATGTTTCCGAATATACGCCAGATTATTAGCAAGCAAATGTATATGCTATATTAAATAACTTTCGTCTTCATTCTTATCAAATATCATAGCACACAGATTGTTTTAATTTATAAATATACAGTAAGATCTAACATCTTGGGTATTTATAAACACACTATTTTAAAGATGTATAAATTAGAGCCGAGTTTGTACACATTAGGTATAGTATAAAAAAATAATATAGATAAAATCGCATCAAAGATTTATATTCTTTCATAACTATCTGCTCTGCAGCAGTTAAACGTGAAAGAAATGCCATCCTAAAAGAAAATAATAAAGTTTATTCATCGGATTTAATCGCACAATCATTTATTTAGAATTTTTAATGGTATATAATACTTACTCTAATAAGTGATGGAAGATCACACCAGAACTCGTGATTAGGTAACATTTCCCAACCAGTCGCTCCTCTTAGCATCCTTAATGCTATTGCCCCACCAATAAAATATAATCCACTGAACACAAAGAATAGAATTACTAAAGTAGATCCCATCGAAATGGTAGCTGGAGCGTGTTGTTTCCCGCACGGATTTATTGTTCCCATTGGTGGTATCTAGAATAATATTTAATATCATTTTTTATTCATAAATTTAAGAGACTATATTATAACAAACAAATTACTAATTACTTATATATCATACGTACATGATAGGTAATATTGTTGGAAATAAATTGTGCGGTACACTTTGTGCAACAACTGACCGTTGTTAGTAAAACAAAATTTGGATAATTTATGAATATTGATATATTATTATACCCTGATACCAATTGTGCGTCAGTTTGATTCACAATACCCAATTCGATAAGTTCTGTTGTATGAAAATTATTGGAGCAGAACTATGAAAACAAAAGATTAGCATTAATACAAATATTAAAAATATACAGGTAAGTAAAGACTTAAAGCATGAAATAAAGCGTCGCATTATATCATTGTTTTCTTTACTAATTATATTACCGATCCATTTTGTTTAATACAATGGAGTTCATTTTCATTAATTTTTTCTGGTATATTTTCACAATAATCGATGTATAATGTATGAGGCAGTTTCTCTTCAGGTTTTCTGTAAAAAGAAACCCAAAATACAATAATTTAACATTTTTGTAAATATTCAATATTAGTAATTCTTTAAAGTTTTTGTACAATACAATTATCAAAAAAAAAAGTAAGGCTAGAATCGCCAACTATACGAACCCTTTGTATATAATGTTAATTAATCTTTTTGCTTCATTGTCAGGAACAATGCAAGTACAAGTATCGATGTTATTACATTTTGCCGTAGTCGTGTCAGAAAAAATTATCAAAAATAATCCGAATACAATAAACATTGAACTATACGTAAACATCATTTAACTCTTTCTCTATGAAACGTTATGCAACTTTACATAGCTCTTCTCTATACTGTAGATTAAAGTCTATTATAAATTTAATTGCATGATTCTAACCTCACTATTGTTAAACATTTCTCATTTAATATTTGGAAAATTGTTAACTTTCTATAATAGTATATAATACATTTAAATGTCATTTTTTTTAATATTATCTCTATTTAATAATAAATCATAGATCTTATAGTAATTGTAGATGAGAAAGAAAATATCTTCTATCTTTCTCACATGCATTCTGAATGGTGATCAACCAATGATCAGGCGTTGCACAACATGTACCTGCTCGCTGATTGACTAGAATCATTTTAACCAATCAGGAACAAGTAATCGTGCAAATGGTGACAATTAATGCGCATCGTTAAAACGAAGTCTTTCTCATAGATTTATTTGAAATATTCAAAAAACGCTCGGATATTCAATCGTTAATCGCGTCTAACGCAATTGTAGTGTTATTAATTTTTGATAAATATACAGTTTATTGATCAATATTTATACAACTTGTTACAGTAAGTATTAAAAAGGTTAATTCTTTTAACATTACTTTTTCAAATATATAACCTTTAACTCTACTGATTATTGTTTACAAGTTCATGTTTTAATGAATACTGAGAGCTATTGAGATAGAAATTTAATTAGAATTAGTTTAGCATAATTGAATAACAATAAATAATTACATAGATGGAACCTATGACTTTGGGATCACCTGTTAGCAATGCAATACCAAATCCAAGTAGTCCTGGTGGTAATACCATGTATCTTCCAAGTTTTCTTTTAGGAGATACAAATCTTGTAATTAATAATTATTTATATTTAATTATAAAAATATTTTTTTTTCTAACAAGTCTAATATATAACTAAAATTTTTAGCCTACCAAAATCGGAGGAACTAGCCCTCAAGATAATAGTTTTAGGCATTTGAATGCAACCAATATTAATATGATATCACCAATTTCACAATATGGCACACCAGACTATCGTATTAATCGTCAGAAAGCTGTTTTTGGAAATACTACTACACCTAATACATCACAAATAGGTGCAGAAAATCATGTTGGTGGTCCACCAACTCGTGGATTGTTCGATATTGTAGAATCTTCACCAGCTTTAACGACTCCTAAAACAGCACTGAATCAAACCAATCAAAGTTTTTATTCAAATCATTCGAAAAAGTTAATTAATTCGACCAACAATATGTTATTCCCAGATAGTCCGTTGAGTTTGAACAATAACGAATCGCAAGGACTATTACAATGGGTTACTGTCTTTGGTTTTCCACCGAATGCAATAAATACAGTACTTTCGCATATTTCTAGCAAAGTTCGTATAATAGATAAACATTCACCACCTTTGCCTATAAGCAATTGGATACATTTAAAATGCGCATCTGAACAAGAAACGCAAAGGGCATTAGCATGTAATAGCAATATAGTTTCGGGCTCAATTATGATCGGTGTAATACCATGTACGGATGAAGCCGTCATTTTGAGTTGCGATAAAGAAAATCGTTCTATGTTAAATGGAAGTATGAAATCATTTTCTACATTTAATAAAATGGATCTGAGTAGAGAACAGAGTACACCTCATACACCAATAAAAATTAAAAATGCAAGACCACTTGTAGCTGGTTACAGTCAACATTTAAGTCCACAATCAGTAACGTTGGCAGAAAATGTTCCACAAAAATCTACTGGGTTAGTTACTAAAGCGATGGAATATGTATTTGGATGGTAATCTAAGTAGTTAATTGCAATCTAATTTTTATATTAAATAAAATTGTACAATTCAAATTAAAAATAAACGCATTACTGAAGATATTTAATTAGCTAGGGATAAATAAATATTTCGTAATTTGTTTTCTATAATTACATATTAATTTTTTTCGTATCTTTATTGCATCATTTTAAAAATTTTCAAATGGATATTAAGTAATTGTTGAATGATCAGTAATATTATTTCTAACTTCTAAATGAATCTGTTTTGATCTGGTACTATCTAATCTTATTCTACAACATGGTATATATATATATTTTAAATTACCTTTAATCACACATGATAGAAATGTTTATTCATTTGTAAGATATAATTTATGAAAACGGTAATTTTGCACTTGTTTTGTACTCAAATATATTTTATATTTTTTAGTGTAGTTGTTAGACTTGTATTGAATTTGTAATAAAAATGACGATTTACGATAGATAATGAAGTAACTCTAATGTATACAAAGAAAGTAATATACACGTTTTAATCTAAATATATTAATAGATATCCAAGTTGTTATTACATACAACATGTTACATGATTTTCATTCTATCATAGATTATGACAATATGTTTTACTTTACTTTATTATTTTTTATCTAAAACAGATAAAATTATTTTTAATAATTGAAACAAAAATTTTATAATAATAGGATTTAATATTTATGTAATAACAATATTAATATATAAAGATATTCGTCCACTATAGACACTAATAAATAAAATATTTTATCGAAGTACCTATTTTTGAATTAATTAGTATTATTTTGGACTGTCAATAGTCGCACTACCTAAGTCGGTCATTTTAGGATATTTAACTTTTTTCTTATCCAATTCATCCTGTGCCCATAAGATCATTTTTAACAAATTATTTAATCTAGGACTAGTTGATTCACTGTGTTCCATTTTCAATATAGCAGCGTTTAATTCACTGGCGATCTGTAAGTAAAGTAATTATAAATATATATTAAGAATAATAACAGATTATATCATAGCAAAACGAGAAAAACACCTATGTTATTACCTTTTGTCGATGCGTGGGATGAAGAAGATCACTAAAAGGACTTTTATGTGGTTCGTCGAAAGCCAATAAGGCTAAAGTACGTTCCAATTCACACAAAATATTATCATCCGATTCTCCAGCTTCACTGAGCTGATCTTGAGCAAATTGTAATGCCTCTTCGATTCTGCCAGTACGAATTAATTCAATGAGATGTAATTGTTGTAGGTGAAAATAAAGATATCTATCATTGTCGAGTAATTCAGGATGTAATTGATTGACCAAATCTGTAGCTTCTTGAATACGACCATTTTGTATTGCATCTCTGATACGAATTCTATCATCCAATGAACTTAATTCTATTGTTGGACCAACTCCGGATTCTTGTTGAAATTTTTCAGCCGCTTCTTTAAATCCCTCTAAAAAATATACAACAATTATTAAACATAAATAGAATAGTAAATTAATAGATAAATAAATCTTTGAATATTAAAGAAAGGAAGTACCGGTTACAAGATAATTCATAATCAAATTATTCATAGATACTCTCTGCGTGTGGGATCCTTCTTCGAGTTTAGCGATCCACTCATCTTTAGTTATGCCATCCTGTTTTTCCGGAAAACTCATTGTCCTTCGAAGAATATTCATTTAGAGAATAAACTATTGAAGATTAATAAACAGAATGTTAGACTTCCTAATTGTTAACCATCTACTCACGTACATATGTATGATTGAAATACAATGTTTTAGAAATATGATTATTGTATTCCTACAATTATATATATATATGTATATGTATGTATATACCGTTAATAATTTAGGATCATTCAAGAACACACTCTTTCTATTTAATTCCACGCGTAAATGATCGACGAATATACAAAGGGAAGAACCAAAAAAAACAAACTATTTTAATTTACACTTTGTATATTCTCATTAGATATTTATTTCAAGATTATATATTGTATTTTAATAACAACCTACTTTTACAATTATTGATTATTATTTGATCACTCTGGGAATGGAAACGACCAAAAGTTTTATTCCACTTTGTAACAATCTTTTTTTCTAATACGTTTTTTTAACTGTGTACGTTTATATAAATGGATTACCTGTCAACATAAAGTTGAAAACATTAGGCATTGTATTCAATGTATATATATATATATATATATATATAACTAAGTATAAGAAAACACAATTATTTGCATTACATGTGAACTTACCCTTGTTTTATTATTTCTTTGAACTGTCACCAGACGTCTCTTTGAATTCAGTTTGGAATCATGGCGGATCCACTGAGTTTGTTACGTCAATATAATGTTAACAAAAAAGAAATTATTGAACGTGAAAATCAAATTATTTTTGGCGAATTTTCGTGGCCAAAGAACGTTAAAACCAACTATTTAACATATGGGTAAGTTTTTCTTTTAAAATCATCAAAGATAATATTTTTATTCGGTACAGTCTGTCTCTGATTATCACTATTAACGGGATTGAATATTGTTGTAATGCTATATAGAAATAAATAATATATATATATATAAAATACATCTTTAGATCGTATACTAAGTATCGTACAATTGATGAAATCTCTTTTTTACATGTGATATGCTTGTAATGCAATTAGCCTACTTTTATATAATATATTACTTAGAAGAATAATCCAATATTTTATTATGAACTATGTAATTTAAATTGCATTATAATTGTATTTTATATTAAGTTAATATTTGTAAAGATTTCGTTATCTTTTATATATATTTATAGATCCGGCAAAGAAGGAACAGCAAAGGAATATTATACTCTAGAGTGCCTCCTATTTTTATTAAAACATGTACAACTTACGCATCCTGTATACGTGCGACAAGCAGCTGCAGAGAAGGTTCCTGTTGTACGTCGTCCTGATAGAAAAGATCTTTTGGCCTATCTCAACGGAGAAACTGCCACATCAGCCGCCATAGACAAATCTGCTCCGTTAGAAATTCCAACTCAAGTTAAGCGTACAGCAGAAGATAGTCTTGAAAGCGGGTCATCTAAGAAACCACGTTTTGAAGAGACACATGTACAGAAAGTTAAGGAACAACTTGCTGCAAGGCTTGATGCTCCTAAAGAAGCATCAGTCACAGTCGACAATATCAAGTCTCTTTCAGAGGCTATGTCGGTTGAAAAAATTGCTGCTATTAAAGCTAAACGATTAGCTAAAAAACGTACTACTATTAAAGAAAATGATGATATTGGTATGGGCTCAGATTTACGTGTTATTCTTGATATGGATGTAGACGATACAAAGGATATAGTTTCGAGAGAAAGACAATGGCGAACTCGTGCCACAATTTTACAGAGTAGTGGTAAAATATTTGCTAAGAATATATTTGCCATTCTTCAAAGTATTAAAGCTCGAGAAGAGGGAAGACAAAAGGGTCCTGCCATTCCTACGCCAATGGTTACTCCACGTTCTACTCCTATGAGACCGTTACCTCAACCAGCTGTTTATAATCGTTATGATCAGGAAAGATTCATCAGGCAAAAAGAAGAAACTGAAGGATTTAAAATCGATACCATGGGCACTTATCACGGAATGACACTTAAGTCTGTGACAGAGGGTACTAATCCGGCAGTAAGGAAACCACAAGCCAATCCATCCACGACTCCAACTTCTGGACTATTACCAACATCTGCTGCCAAGCTTACACCTCAACAGGCAGCACAAAATAAAAGACCTAGCAGAACTCCTATCATTATTATTCCTAGTGCAAATACTTCTTTGATTACAATGTATAATGCAAAAGATATTCTTCAAGATCTGAAATATGTTAGTCATGATGATAAAAAGTCTCAAGGTTGTAAACGAGAAAACGAAGTTCTTTTACAACGTCGTAAGGAAGGTGGCTTGACAGTACCGTATCGCATCATTGACAATACGCAAAAATTAACTCACGCTGATTGGGAAAGAGTAGTAGCAGTATTTGTTATGGGACCAGCATGGCAATTTAAAGGTTGGCCGTTCGACGGTAATCCGGTTGAAATCTTTTCTAAAAGTATGTATGACATTAATTATTTCATCTGAAAAAATAAAAATTTTATTTAAACTATTTGAAAATACTAAAGATCAATCATTCTTTTACAGTTTGCGCATTTCATTTGAAGTACGATGAAATGAGATTGGATGCAAATGTAGCACGTTGGGCTGTTACAGTAATCGAATTAAGTAGGACAAAAAGGCACTTAGATAGAGCAGCATTAATGATTTTTTGGGAACACTTGGACAAGTAAATATTATCTTTCTCTCATATTTTTATTCAATCATATTAATTCATCAAACAAAATTTTAATGATTTCTTCTTCCTACAGACACATGATCAAAAATAAGCCCCACTTACGATTTTAAATTGACGGAGATTATTAATGGAACATAATTGTCGCGAACAATAAAAACAGCTATAATAAAATTCGCATTTTGGGTACTTTTCATAAAAGCAAAACTTGTATATAGATTATTAAAAGAAAAAAGAGAAAGAAGGAAATGAAAGATCATTGTACATATAAATATATTTGCAAGATAGTATAGCATATATATTATCTTATCGAATCAGAAAACTAGGATTCGAGTTTGCAAATTTAATTATTGCTCTTTAAAAAGAAGCAACAGAAAATCGCTTACCTTATATGGATATACGATTTTTATACATATCCAAAAGGATGAGTATTATCATTGATAAGCGTAATGAACATAATTCACTTAATGGATGAGATTGTTCGTAACTGCCTTTGTTTCACGTTTAACAATTATTTAGCAGATTAATACAAAATATTAACGATATGTATAGTTAATACACATCAGATATACAAAGGTGAATCATTATAGGCTCGTGATACTAATATAAACGCATGTGCCTATCGTTAAGTAATATATTTTAATTAAAGCACGTTATATGCGCCTATATACGTATATAAAAGAAAGAAATTGTGTACTATGATTTAATGTAAAATATTTGGTATAATACTGACATACACGAATCGAAAGTTTTATTCAACGGTGTTACATTGATGAAAAAAAAAAGAAATTTATTAAAAAGCAAAATTAATACAATTGTGTATATGTCATCCTTAATGTATTTTAAATCTAATGATACACACACAGCATACATATATTTTGTTCATTTCAATTATAATATCAATTCCTCTATTTAATTTGTATTCGTGGTAAAAAAAATATTGCATCCACGTTCACACATATATAAATAAATATATATGTGCATATACATACATACAAAAAGATTTACGTTTCTTATCACCGTAGTGTCAAGTTTCAGGGTGTATTTAGTAATTCGAAGCACGATGGATCACGAATTCTCAAAGGGGGATAGAGAGGGATCATCGTATTTTCTCTTCCTAAAAGTGAAGCCAAAGTAAATCCCTTCGGGGCATTGACTTTTGTGTTTAACCGATGCCGATTCTGTTTACACAGAAAATCGAATCTTTCTAACTCGGTTACAGAATTCTTATTACTTTGGTAGAAACCCATTGCTTTTTCTCACGGAAACTGATAATAACAACACAATAGTAAAGGTTTTGTTTTTTATTTCCAAGTATTCCTTTAGGATATAAAACAAATTTACACCAACTTTTAAACTATATAAACATTACACAACTACGTATTTTTGTTTTTTTAATACGCGCGTGTGTATGTATGTATGTATATATGTGAAGATGAAGTGTAATGACCAATAAAAAAAAAGAAAAATTCGATGGTCATTGAGTTTGATTAATCTGTATTTTATTTTACGCTTGACGATCAAAGGTCAATCGTTGAGGTGTATCGTAATAAGTGATGCATGCATTAACACGCTCGAATTGACATAACTGTTGCGCTGAACTTTGAAGACAAGCCTTTCCTGTAGAAAAGAAATTACCTTATCGGTTCGTAAGATTCGTTAAACCCCACACAATATACATACATATATTATATATGTACACATGAGTTGATTTTTTTTTAAACACCTAACGCGTATAATATATACATATATGTATGTGTGTATCGTGCACGATGAACCCAGAACATTAAAGATTTGTATATAGCTCGTTATATACAGGATATGTGTGACATTTAATTAAAGATCTCGTGCAAAAACATAACATTTTTTCTCTTTCTTTTTTAATTATTTTATTTTTTATTATAACGATTATGAAATAAACATATTTTCTTGCGACTAAAAATAAGCTGATTTATTTTCTAGTTTATATAATTTTATAAGATAAGAAACAAATGTTTACAAGAGAGAGAAAGAGAAAGATTATTATATATTACATTATTAAAAAATACGTTACAAGATAAAAATTCTTTGTATGAAATTTAAAGAGTTTCTTAGTTCATTTATCAAGCTTTTCTAATTGTTTATAATTATAGAAAAAAGTTTCCAAATTTGTTGAAAAAGTCAACAATTTTGTTCTTTTTTCTTTTCAAATATAAATAATATTTAGCAATAACAGTATATATATTAAATATTTAACAGGTAACGTATCAGATGCCTTAAAGAAAAGATCGTAATCTCTAAAGGTCCCACTTTCCCTATAACATATATATTGTTAAATAAATATTTGCTTCCAGAAAGGAGGACAGGTGTTAAAAATCGAAAAACCGATTAATCGGTTAGCGGTAGATAAAGTGATAATAAATAATATTAATTATAATCGAAAAGTGTATCTCTCTCTCTCTCTCTCTCAGAGTATATTGTAGGAACACTGAGTACAATTAGGAAGGACGCAAGGAATAGCAGGAAAAACAGGTGGTAAATGTAAAGTAGCTGATCTTGGTGCTAACTGATCGGCAAGATGATCGGCGAGACGATCGGTAACTTGAGCATAAACGCGATCTCTAAATTGTTGTTGCATACTTGAAGCAAAGTAATCGTTGTATCGAACAGTTAAAGCTACGGTTTCTCGGTCATAAGAAATTGGTAAAGTTGAAGGATCTGGAGATTCGGAATGATGGATCATCGATGTTGGATAAACTGTTGGTCCAGTATTTGGGGTGATATTTTTAGAAACGTGATCAGGTAAAACATTGAGTAATCGATAAGCGTCTTCAAGATAAAGATTTCTAGTTAAATTCGAGGAAATTGGTGATAATAAATTATTATTTGATAAATCTAGATCATTCGTCAATCTTTCTCGATCCAATGGTACTTGCGTTTGAGGTGGTCGAAAGGCTGACATTGGAACCTCAGTATTTGACATGGAATCAATCCCAAGACTCTCGCTAGCGAAATATTCAATGGCTTTTAATAAATCTTGTCCACATCGTTGGAGGACCAATTGTAGGACTGATAATTTTGTCCTAGGAAATAAACGTGCCAAAGTTTCGACTGATCTTCGGGATACCGAAACTTCTTTATCCATTGATCCATTTATTACTCTTTTCAACGATCTCGTTGTTCCATCCTCGGTCGAATTCTGAAGAAGAAAATATCTTCTTCCTGGTATTTGGTAACGAAATGGTTCAGGATTTCCAAAAATTTTAAATTAACCGAAAACCAATATGGAAAACACATTTTTCACGACCTACACTTTGAATTTTCTTAAATAACATGTTAACTGTCTTTATGTTTCAATATTCAACACAACTTTAATATTTTAGGAAATCTCTGCGACAGATACAATAATATGGTTAACCTAGTCTTCCTGATCTCTATTCAAACTTACCTTCTTTGTAGAATCTTCCATCGGAGAATCAACTTGTCGTGGACTCATATCCCTACCGTTTTCTTCTTCTTCTTTATTAGATATTCCTCTTGGTTCGGTTACAGACATCCCAAATATTTTCCCTGCTGGAAGTCTGCTTAATTTTTCACCTGTAGCTACTTTGGCCATCCTCAAGGCTATTGCATCCTCGGCAGCTTGTTGTCTCTTCAAAGCGACCTTATATTCGATACATTTTAATTGTGAATTTTCTTTTCTTATTTTATTGTTTTCCCTTTGTTCTTTTTGTTCTCCCCGCCCCCCCCCCTCACCCCATCAGCACCCTTTTCGTTAAAACAACTTTCGAATACATCGAATCGAGTTCGCGAGATAATTCATTTTCTTTTCTTTCTGAACTGATTCATTCGTTTACTCGATACTCTTCTACTGTATGTCTTTTATTAGCATCCATCGTATATATATAAAGTATACTAATGTGTCTACACACGTATGGAACCATTTGCCACGCGTTATTTCAAGCTGGACCACCCACTGGAAATTTCTTTTCTCGTCTTTTACCGATTTACACGTATCGATGATATCAATCAATTTTCGACAAATACGATAATGATTATTTTCAATGAATTAATTATTAAGTAAGTAAAATTGAAGAAATATTTAAAAGATAAAAGAAAGAAATAGGAAAATTTCTTTTTCATTGTCGAGGGATTTTCTTTTTATACATTTTCGCATCCCTTTTATTGTATGTATATATTTAGTTACAGATTCACAACTACCACCGCCGCTAATATTTCTTACGCATTTATTCGAGTTTATCTCGAAAAGATCGAAAGCCTTGATATTTGTAGATATATATATATATGTATGTGTGTTTTTTGTGTATAAGTAGTAGTAGAGACAGGATCGAGTGTCATAATGCCTATGCAAACAGAAATGAAACGCTATACCGCGGGTTAATGGATTTCGTTTTCATCTTTCTCTGTTTTCTTCTTTTTTTTTCATTATATATAATGTCGACAGACAAAAAATGTTTAACGATAGATTTATACTCATGTGCAAAAGCACATAATCATTTTATTTAATAATAATAATAATAATAATAATGTCAAAAAATTACCTGAGCAGCCATAACCCGTTGACGTTCAGCAATAAGGGAACATTTTGGGCAGAGACATTCCCTGTAACGACATTCTCGTTTGTGTCCCCTTAACCAAGAAATTAAACCGTGATTTCTACAACGCGCGCATTTTGGTCTCCTTTGTTTGCTCTGTTCCTCATTAGAGATCTCCTCCGTAGATTTGTTTTTACTCTTGTTGCGCAGCATCGATATTTATCGTTTATCTTGTAAAATAAGTCCTTTTAAAAATATTCTTTTAAACTATTCACATATATATGATTTAATAAAAGTATAATTATAGCACAGTATTTTAATAATATTTTTAACAACACAAATGTTTCATTTCGTTTAAATTAAAAAAAAAGAAAAAAGATGTTTTAAATATATTTAAAGTTTCGTAAAAGTGAGTAAAAATATCCACGTGGATTTTGGATGAAAAAAAAAATGCGCGTGTGTTAGATAATTAAAAAAAAAAAGATAACGGGTATTAAATGATCAATGATCTCGTACAATTGTACGTTAATCACAGACTTGAAGAACTTTCTCACTCACTGAAGAAGAATAAGGAAGAAGATCTCAAAGCTAATCTCCTGGAGATTTAGTTTCTTCCGCAAGAAACAGGCGATTGGCTAAGAGAAATGTACAGGGTGTCGACTTGGGCGCGATTCCAGCATCCCTTAAAGCAAGAAGGGGATATAGCGGTCGGGGGAGGTGTAAGGGAAGAGGGTAAAAAGACAAACATCCACCGGACCAGCCTTTCCTCACGATTGGTCCCGTTTTGTTTACTTTAACCGCCACTCCCACTCCGATCGAGAACTTACTCGTGTATATCTACTCGACTTTCAAGTATGTGTTATTATCGTTATATTCACGTCCTTCTCCGGATAACAGGAACTGAATCTCAATGTATAAAGTAATGCGTATATACTACCGGTCAAAATTATTTGACCACCTTACCAAATAATACAAAGTTCATCCAAATGAGTGCCATATCCAATTTATTTGTAGTATTTATAGGAAATTTAGAAAATAAATTGTTTCTTTAACAAATTAATTATGTTCAATCCGAATGTGTCATCCATTAACAAAAACTTCATTTGTGTCAAATGTATTTTTAATACATTGGTTATAAGTTTTTTTTGATCACGTTTATATTTCAATTTGAATTATTGTTTAAAACAAATTACTTATATAAGATTACAGAGATTGTTATTTAGGGATGCCAAGAGTATGCAATGTAATATTGAAAGCCAGAAGTATCCTGTTTCGATGAAGCTAATATAAGATTGAAATATTTTATGAGCAAGTTTTTTATTTTATTTTATTTTGTTGTGTGAGTCGTTTTTAATAAGACCGATTTATTTTTGTGTGTACTTATTTTTTATTTATTCGAAACATTTTAGAATTTCTCTATATGGTTGTAAAATAATTTTAACTAGTAGTGTATATGTGTTTGTAAGAAAGATCTTTGACTTGTTCTTAACGTGTACACTTAGGTATATAATAATTGATTTTAAGTTAAACATAGGAATATAAGATTTTAATATAATTATAACGAAGGTCAAGTTTTATCTACCTACCGAGAAAAGCATATTATGTATAATTCATGAATCGACTGAAACTTGTTGCTCCAAAAGCACGAGGATCTGTCCTATAAAGAGTACTAAACCTAGAAAATATATATCATATATAGATAAATATCTATAATGCTTACACGATCTATACCTACTACGATATACACCATGTAGTATCTATGCATATTTATTATAATAATTACGAGTAAGTGATCAAATTCATTGAAAATATTAACACGAAATATGTTTTATTGGATGTTAGTATTGAACAATCGTTTAATTTGATAAAAATAATACTCCTATTTTTTTAAAGAATAAATATATATGAGTCGGTTGGAAAATTTTCAGCCTAACTCAAACAACTTTTAAACCCATCCCCCCAAGTAAGTAAAAAATAATTTCTATTTTTATATAATAATATAAATATATTATTCATTATACATTAGAGAGAGTTTATAAAAAATCAATCATTTAATTTATTATTTTATTAATTAAAAATCAACACTATAATTTTTCAAATCAAATCAAAATAAACATAAAATAAAAGCTCGGCGGAGGGATAAGGGGTATATGTATATGTAATAATTAAAAATAAGTAAAACGACATGTTTACTGCCAAGAATCAAGATCGTTTTATTCGTATTTTTATCTTGTTTTTGCATTTTTTTTTTCTTTTTTTTCGTTTTCTTTCACGAATACAGAATTCGTAGGTGGATTTCTGAACGAGATTTGTATGGAATAATAGAATGAATGTTACCATCGCAAATATTATTAAATCGGTCACATTCGGTGCGTGTATTCGCATTCGTGTCGCGCACTTATAGATTATTTTTTATTTATTAATTATATTATTAATATAATATTAAAACATTCTTGTGCCGTACACTACAAGTGCATTCTCTCGCGCGAGGTCTATTATTTAGACGCAGCCATGATATGTAATTCCTTCGTTAAATCCATCCGGTTACTTACGAACGATCAAAAAAGATCGGAAGCCATTTTATTCAATGCCGTGGCTATCCTATCTTTTAGCCATTTTGTTTTCTCTACGTTTTGTTCTTCTTTGTCTCTTTCCATCTCTCTCTCTCTCTCACACACACACACACACATATACACGCGCGAAACACACACATCCACACATGCACTCACACTATTATCGACACTATGCTACTATCTTAAAACGTTCGCTTAAATATTCGTCACCTTTAATTTAATCTCTTTTATTTTCTTGTTTATTTTACTTTTTTTTTTTTTTTTTTAGTAGGTTGAAGTATTTTATTTGTTTGTTAAATAGAAGTATTAGATCTTTCAGGAAGCAAATTCGTAATAATAATAATAATAATCGCCTTTTAACCATTTATTATCATTTATAATACATCTACAATGAGTCATATAGAAATATTCGTTAATACGAGTTTGGAAATATTTGAAAAAACGTTTTCAAAGTATTTTTTATTTATTGTTAGTTAAAAAATAAATTAGCGCGTATACGTAAGAAATATTTTATCTATGGAATAATTAACGTTTTAATAAAAAAAGCCAATGGTTTTGTGTCGTAGCACGTTATTGTATGTTTCTATTGGATATGTAATTAAGTTTAATATCAAAATCAACCTATCATAAAACGAACTACGTTTATTCGAAGATTATTTATAATATCGTAAGAAAATGATGAATTATGCAATGTAAATAGATCTATTTTTATATCTTTATATAATTATAATAATTATTTGAATAAATCACAAATGTAATTCGCTTCAGGATCGATCAACTTCGACAAGATATTTTTTAGTAGGATATGCATGTATATGTAAGAAGAATCAAATGTACAAAATGCATGTATATATATAATAATATATATAATATAGTGGGAATTCCGGCATGTTAGCAATTCCTAGACATTGCCCACAATACATAGTGTTTTTAGGCAACGTAGGAAACAGAAGAATTGTTACAGATTTATCGGACACTAACAGACACACAATACACACTCCCAACACGCATAAAAGCGAGCATGCAGCAGGTTTTTGTGCGCGGATTTTTGAGACTGGCGCGCTGCTATACTATGCGCTATACTATATCAACTAAGAAAACAATTCTTTTGTTTCCTTCGTTGTGTGTGTCTAAAAATGCCATGAGCAATGTCTGCATTTCTTACTTTTCCGGTAGCATATATATAGTGGTGATTTTTTGTTCTTTGTTTTTTATAAAAGTACATGATAAAAAATTGAAAAAATTCATGTTTAATATCTTTTTTTTTTTTAGTTCCATGCTACGACAAAAGACCATTCTTTTTTTCTTCTTCTTGTTTTTATTTATTCTTTTGCACAAATAGTTTTTATTTACACAGCACACTAATCTTTTTTTGTTGTCTGTTATATACTATATGAAATATTTCTATATATCTATTTATTAAAATTTAAATTACTCGACTTGTAATAAGATACATACAAAAAATTCTTCTCGTTAGATTTAAAAGAAGAAAAAAGATAGAAAGAGAGAAAAAAGCGTTGAAACATTTCTTTAACTCGTTGTATATTTTTTTTTTCTCTAACGTGAATCCTACAAAGATACGGATTGAGAGTGGATTTATTTTATATATTTTATTTTATTTTATTTTATTTATAATAAATCGATTTTTTTTTTGTTATTAAACGACAAAGAGCTATTAAAGATCTAAGAAAATGTTATCAACAAATTGATACGAAGTGGCACAGACGACCATTTTTTTTGTTTAATTTTCTTCTTATTATTATTGTAGTTGTTTTTGTTTGTCTATTGTTTGTTGCATTATTCGGAAAAGGTCGTTCTTCGAAGACAACAAATTTCATATCTCATTTTTTTGTCTCGAATAATTATAGCATGCATTACAATCGAGTATTGTCAAAAATGTCCGACGTTCACACAAAACGATCGAGTAGGACGATTATGTTTGGTTTTATTTCTTTTTTTTCTTAGATATGATCAAATGATATGGTCCATACGTGTGTCATTTGTACTGGGTTTATAAATTATATTTACTTTTCAGACTTCATTTATTCATCCTTTAATTAATTATAGAACTTCGAACAACGACCCCGTTACCGAATATTTTATTTCATTCATTTATTTATTTATGTGTATTTGTAATCCGTTACAGGTACTATACATGTATGTATCTCGATAATCATTTGATCTTAGGTTTGTTAAAAAGACGAATAAAAAATAACAATACAATATTAAATGTTCATATAAACGACATCGATCGGATAAAAATTATTGTAAAATGTTTCATTCGTTTATTTATTTATTTGTTTGTTTGTTGTTTTATTTATTCATTTCTTTTGCGTATATGTATATAATCTCTCGGTCGTAAGTGCCTGTGCTTTTTTTTGTTGCTCTTATCTTTTCTCTTTCTTTGTTTATCTTTTTTTTCCATTTTATATACTTTATTTTATTTTATTTTATTTTACCTTTATGTGTTTATTTTATTTATTATTTTTTTTTTGTCAATAGCATAATACAGGTATACGTTTTTTACGTAAAAGCGGTATAATGAAAATTCTTTTCTATTTTATTTTATCTTCTTTCTTTCTTTTTTTTTTTCGATGTACACATTTTGCTCGAGCGAATGATAAAGAAAGTCGAAAGAGTATGAAATTCGTTCATACAATCGACGAAAGCAGATTCCGCTATTTATTTTTGCTTTTTTATTTATATCTATCTATCAACCGAATAATGATAATAACAATAATAATGGAATAATAAGAATAATAATCATCGTTTTTTTTCATCAGGATTGAGAAAAGGGTACATTGGATCTTTGATAATAATCTTATTTCTGTGTGTTTGTTTGTGCTTGCTTTTTTTCTTTCTTTCGTAAAAATGAGTCTTTTCGATGCTTGCTTGCTCGTTTATTTCCTTTCACGAAGGCAGTTCAATTTGCACGTTTATTTCTAATTGTCATAAAATTAATTTATTATTACAAATATAACGAAAAAAGAGAGTTCAAAAAAAAAAAGAAAAATTTATCAATGCGAAAATTATTCGCAATTGAATTAATCGAATAAACAAATTGGAACACCAAATCGTTCATTTAAAATTCATTTAAATAACTCTCAATCATTTAATTTTTCTCTTATCCAAAAAAAATAACAGTCATCGTATTAGTTAATTTATATTAAAAATTTACTTTTAATTTATATGCAAATTTTTAATAACGTATAAACTAATTAAAATTAATGTTGTAACGAATGAAATGATAAAAATATGAAAAATAATTTTAAAAATGTACATTTAATTATAAAAGTAAATAAATAAATAAATAAATAAAAGTTATATAACGTTGTGGATAGAATTAATTTCGTTGAAAATTAATGATATTAATTAATTTTGAATGATGAAAATGATACAAATATAACAATTCTGGACTGCCTTTACATTACCTTTCACCGCATAAAATTTCTCTTTCTCTCTCTCTCTCTCTCTCTCTCTCTCTCTCTCTCTCTCTCTCTCTTTCTCTCTCTCTCTTTCTCTCTCTCTTTATCTTTCCCTCTTTGCTTTCATACCAATTGGCCCCGAAATATCAGAGGATACGTTTACCCTTTCTTTCTCTCTTTCTCATACTTTTGCATTCTTTATCTCCTATTTTTTCCACATCAGTGGGACGTTTTTTCAATATCGTAACCTCGACTTTTTCTCTCTTATCATTTATTTTTTCTCTCTTTCTCTGTGTCTCTCGCAAATCCGAGGATCGAGGGTCGATTTCATAAAAGACTAGATTCCTCTTTTTGTTACTATTTTTTTTATCTATATTACTATATACGTATTTTATCTATGAATATTATTTACTCTCATGCACTTGTCTATATACACATAAATGTTGCTAAAAATAACTAATATAAATCTCTAAAAACCGACCAATATATATATAATGAGGTATTATATATTAAAAGAAACAATAAATTCTTCTAACTTATTCGCGAATTTATTATTACTATTATTATTATTATTAATATTATTACTAATATTATTACTATTATCATTATCATTATTATTGTTATTATTATTATTATTATTATTATGATTATTATTATTGTTACTAATATTAATTTCATTTGGTCGGTTTTTCGAAATATGTATCTCGATTGCTATTACGACTGTACATAAAAACAGGTTCGAAAAAACAAATGACGAGTACAGAGATATAAGCATCCCTTTTCTAACTTACACATCTATTTTTTATTTTTTATTAATTATTTTTTTTTTCCTTTTTATTTTCCTTTATCTTTTTTACTGGAATATAGAAAAAATCTTATTTACAATTTACAGCTAAGAAATTGATTGAACTAACGTGTATATATATTTCTATATCATACGAGTTTGTATATACATGCAAATATGTGCGTACTAATGCATGTACATGCTTAGAGTAAAAATGAATAAGGATAATTGAAGAGAGAGAGAGAGAGAGAGAGAGAGAGAGAAAGAGAGAAAGAGAGAGATAAGAAAAGGATGATATTTATTTAAGTTTTCTTTTTCACTTAATAATCGTAAAAACGATTTATACGGGAAAATATATCTAGAAAGTTGTGTATGAAAATTCAAATAATCCCATTTTAGTTGATACTTTTCTAAGAAAAAATTTGCATCATACTGCACTTTTTTTACATTTTTAAAAGCCTTTCGTATTTATCGACCAATAATATGCCTAGCCCCACATATTACACAGTAATATAAGATATGTATTCTTTTGTCAGCTCGCACCATACGTTTACATTTTAAAACATTCTCTTGAAAATCCTTCATCATCGTCCAACATATATATTTATGTATATGATGAACAAAACAAATGAATAGTGCAATGGTTTTCTCAAATGATCGATCAATTCGACTTGAATTAATGTCGATAATTGTATATGTAATACTTTATCTTGTAATATACGTTTATGTGTCAACTCACGCGCAAAACATGGACACAAAACGTTAGCTAGCAGCTATCTTATAAATTATTATTCTACACGGTCAATACACCAAGGACGAGTGGGGAAAGAAAACAATTTTTGTGGATTACAATTAAATAGAATTCGTTAAACGCTCGATATTATTTCAACTTTTTGCCTAATCTTTAACGATTTAAATAAAATCGATCGTTACCTATCAATAATTTACAATATCATCGTTATTAATTATTATTATTATTATTATTATTACTATTATCTTTTATATTTTATATTAATTATTAATTATATTAATTATTAATTATTATTATTGTGTTAATACGAGTGTGGGCGAGTGTAAAATGAACGGCCTACGATAATAATAAATAACAATAATCGGCCATAGCCCATGGATATTGTCGATAACGGTATACACCGTAGGGCCAACTTTCGACTGCTTGTTTTATTTTATTTTTTTCTATCTTCTTCTTTGCCTATCTCTCTAACTCTATCTTCTATCTATCTATTTATCTCTCTCTCTTTCTTTCTCTCTCGTAATATCGTCCACTCGTCCTGGTTGTGAAATGAAAAATCTCTTGTTTTAACTTACGATCTATATCGAAAAGTATCTAACATCAGTTCCTGCGAGACTCGCTCTTCCTTTCCGATCCTTTCTTTTTCTTTCCTTTCTTTCTATTTGTTTATTTTTATTTATTTTCTTTTTATATATATATATATAATACTTATTTTATTTTATTTTTTATTTTTTTTTTTATTTTTTTTTTCTCAACGAAACAGGAATACGAGACTATCGTGAAGTAAAATGTATAACGAATACATTGGAGGAAATTTAAATTCGTTCAATTTCTAAAATCTATAGGTATTTTTTCTTTTTTTTTTTTTAACGTAAGTAAATACATATTGGGAAATGAAAAAAACGAACATAGTAAGTTTTCTTTTCTTTTCTTTTTTGCAAAAATGTAATATAATCTTTTTCTCTCTCTCTCTCTCTCTTTCTCTCTCTCTCTCTCTCTCTCTTGGTCTCTTTCTTTCTCATTCGCGCATGTGCATTCTTTTAGGATTCTCTCTTGACAAAAGAAAATCCGTCACCCACGTTTTCCCGTGAAACTCACGATAAAATGTCAAGGTGACAGCTACGAGAGATCTATTTTTACAGATAAAAAATAATAACCTACGAAGCGTGGGTTCGATCGTGCATTAGATCGACGAAAGTAAGATACACATCTCTTTTCTCCCTTTTGTTAAAACCATCCTTGTTTGCTTCGACAACTTTTACTTTTCCGAACTCGGTCTGTACAGTTTTGTTTTTTATCTAAGATAATCCACAGGAAATAAAGATAAAAACGATGACAATAATGATGCATGATTATGATCACGACAATGATAATAATAATAATGAAAATGATGATCGTTTCATCGTAAGTTCGCGTATCTCGTCGCATCAAATGTATTTGTAATGAATATGTATTTACTTACGTATGTATATTTATGTATATATATATAAGGAAAAAGGACGAAAAACAGCAAGCATAGAAAAACATATTTTCGCACGTAATTCTAATGATCACAACAGCTTCGACGGCGATTAGATAACTCGTATCACGGTTTCCGTATATGTGTCTTTCTCATTTTTTGTTGTCGCATTAAATATCATACGTTCATTCTAACGCTCACATTGAGTATCTATTTTTATATATCCATGTATATATGTATGTTTGTATTGTTGCATGCATGCATGTATGTATGTATGTATGAATTTGTTTATGTACACGTGCATATTTCCGCGAAATATCTCTCTTCTCTTTCTAATATACTTTCAACGTGACGTAATAATAAATTCTAAGTAGCCACGTCGTTACAAAAATCTTACAACTATTTAACAAAAAGGAATCTCGTTAACAACTCTTATCTATTTACTTGTCATCACCCTCTTTTCCATACAAACATTATATATATTTGTTCCACTCTAATCCCTTTCTTCCTTCTTCTTCTTCTTCTTCTTCTTCTTCTTCCAAATCATCAATTCGGTCTCTCATCATCTCTTATCATCCCTCTTTCATTCTTTATTTCTTTTTTATTCCTTTTTTTTTCATCATTTTTTATAAAAAAAAAAGAAGCAGAAAGAAATCGATGAAGAAGAAGAAGAAGAATATTAATAATAATAATAATAAATAAGAGACAGAAATGTGTTCTTTTCTATGCTCGCATTACTCACATGTAGGAATACTGATTGTGAGAGAGAGAATCATAATACATAAAATGTCGATTTTCATTATCGACGAAGGTATTACTAATTTTATTTTCATAATTGCGTCCCTCACGATTATTAAGCTCGTATTAGATTTTGGTTTAGAGAATTCTAAATTATATGGAAATAAAGGGATAATAATCTTTGAATAGACAATGAAAAAGAGAGAGAGAGAGAGAGATAAATAGATAGATAGAGAGAGAGAGAGAGAAAGAGAGAGAGAGGACAGGGTGAAAGAAAGATAGATGTTGCATTGGTCGATTGGAAAAGGTTTCGTGTAAAATCCGATCGCCCGATTGGAAGATAATTAATACCAAAATGGAATTCGACGACTTGTTATCACCGAAAATATTCTCTCTCTGTATCGCGTTTTAAAAGATGAAATTATCGCAGTTTAAATATGAGAAAAAAGAGAATGATGATGATGACGATGATGATGTTCGTGTTTGTTTGTTGGGCATGGAGTCGTTGGGATTGAGTAAAAATGTATCAAGATAATCGATAATAATAATAATAACGAATATATATAGCGAAATTATTACATGACCGCGCATTTCTCCTTCAGGCTTATCGCATTGTGACTTTCCACCGGCTGTAAGGAAACCGAACGATTCTTCTCAAGAGTAAGAAGATCCCGAAATAGCGCATTAACGTTGTGATTAGTTTTAGCGGATGTCTCCAAGAAACCACAGCCCCAATTGGCCGCTTCCGCTGCACCCTCGCTCATCGGAATTTCGCGTACCGAAGGACTCTCATCACATTTATTACCAACCTGTTCGAGAGAAGTAATAAATGCAAATCGAAAGCATTCATTAGGAATAATGGGATGATTATTGGAATTGGTAAATAAGTATGTAAGCATTCGGAAAATAAATTTTCTATAATCATTTGTGTTAGAATAAGATTGATTACTGTTTGACGTATAAACGTCAACGACTATATGTATATGTGCACGTTTTTTTTTTAATTCAGCAGATGGTAATTTATTCAAAATCAATTTAAAGAATATCTGTTTACTGGGAAAATTATATTTACCGGGTTTACCCTTTAAAAAATTTGTCTACAGCACAAGTGATTATTATAAAAGTTTATATACTGCAAATAAATGAAGATAAATTGTTTGTGTGGGGAGAAAAAGGAAGGAAAATACAGTGAGAAAAGAAAGTCGTATACTCTTACCAGCATTATCGGTATCTGTGAGATTTCTTGACCCTTCAGCTCCCTTATTACAGCCCAAATCGGTCGTAGCTCTTCGAAACTTTGCCGTGAGCATACCGAATATACCAGGATGAAGGCGTGACCCTTACTTATGGAAAGTCGTTGCATCGCAGGAAACTGATGGGAGCCGGTTGTGTCCGTAATTTGAAGCGTGCATATGTTTTTGTTGCAGCTTATCACCTAAAAATGATGTTTCTTATAGGAGACTCCTGGCAAGGGCCTCCTCCTTTTCTCACATTTGTCTTTTCTTTTATTTTTCTCTCTTTTTTTTTTCTTTCGGAAGAAATATTTTTACACGCTTCTCGTCGCGCACATAGCACGAATCCCACCAGTGTCCTAGCGATACGTAAGGACGAAGCATTCTTTTTTTTTATTATCTTTCTTTTTAGTCATTGTAGGCCATTCCTGATAAACGCAGATAATAGAAACAAAAAAGAGAAAAAGAAAGAGAAAAAAGAGATCAAATTAAAAAGAAATCAATTAGGAAAGTATCTAGCCGGCTGACTAATAACAATACCTACTACTGTCGGTCCTACTACATGCTACTACTATACTACTACTCTTCACTAACTTTTATCGTGTATTATTAAACAAATATAAATAAAAAATTTTACGATATATAAAGAAATCAAAAATAAACAAACGATTAAATGAACATTATTTCGTGATCAAATATACTATCTGAAAAAACGACAAGAGAATTAAATAAAATAAATAAATAGAAAGTGAGAATTGGAATAAGAAGGCACGCGATGCGCGATGAATTGTGCGCCAAAGAAACTTGTCCGTTATTGCGTGTTGCGTTGCGTTATGTTGCATTGCGTTGTAGTGTGATTAAACGAAGGAAATAAAGATTGAAGGAAAGATGGAAGGAAAGATGGAAGGATGGATGGAAGGAAGGAAAGATTAGTCAAAATAAAGAACAATAAAATGATATAGATAATATTTAAAACACTTACCTGTCTGTAAGTATCTTCGATGGTTGGTATATAGGACTCACGAAAGGTTCCTTTCACGAAGCGCAGGACGAGAGAACTCTTGCCAACGCCACCCGCTCCAAACACGACGACACGATAGTCATTGCTCTGTTCCGGCATCCTGACATCTGCCGTCCCGATGATATAAACCCCCGTCTTTCGGGGTCCCCTTTCCACGTTTAGGAGCGATATGAAATCCTCTTGCCGGCCGACCTACCACACACACATACGATCTAACGTCAAATGGATAAAGGAGTTGCATTTGAGGCTGAGATAAAAAGAGAAAAAGAGAGAGAGAGGGAAGCATCCCCTACTGCTACTGCTACCACTACCACTACCACCACCACCACCACCACCACCACCATCATCATCGTCGTCGTCGTCGTCGTCGTCGTCGTCGTCACCACCCCTATATCCGTTTCACCGCACCGCATCGCACCGCACCACCCACGACAATTCGAAACTTCGCGAAAAGGTTATGTCGCCCCTTCCCGCCGTCACTAATCTTTACCTACAGCCCTTCTCCCACACGTGTGTGTGTGTGTGTTTAAAAATATATATGTATATAGAAAATACGAATTTTATAATCGGCATGCCGCATGAACTCTACGAATCTTATAAAGTCAAATATTATATATCAAAATAATTGAATTTTTCTTTCTTGCTTTCTTTCTTTCTCGTAGATTAAATAAACATATAAACAAATTGATTGATTGATTATATAATCATAAATAAACATATTATTTGTGTTATATTGTAATGTTAGACATCTTCGGAATATGTGATCGTTCTTTTCTAACACTTTAGCTGAAATAAATGTACATACTTTAAAGAATCTCTTCTCGAAATGGATGAAAATAAATTAAGAAAAATGCGCCGGCACGAATTGATATCTATGTATATTATTTGGGGGAAAAAATAATAAGGATAAAGAAGAATTTAATGAACCTATTTAGGTTGGACGACGCCCTTATAGGAATATCGTTGCTCGTTGACAAGCTTGGTGCAGTTGTCAAGATGGTTCGTTGTTCTTTTAACGTCAATCACCCTTCTTCTTCTTTTTCACTTTTGTATTTTTCTTCTTCTTCTTCTTTTTCACTTTTGTATTTTTCTTCTTCTTCTTCCTTTCCTTTTCTTTTCTTTCTTTATTTCTTTTTCTTCAAAAATGACGACAATTGTAACGCACGTTTACGTTTAAGGGAATAGGTAAAACATTACACTGATGCGATAGGTGGAATCCTGGGAGAAATGCCACTGCTGTTTTAGTCGCAAGCTCATCGACCGTCTTACTCGTAGTCGTCGTCGTCGTTGTCGTCGTTGTAGCCGAGTCGTGTGTAGTGTAGTTGTAGTTGTAGTTGGAGTTGTGTTGTCTTGTAGTTGAGTCGTAATCGTAGCCGTAGTAGTCGTGCACAACCACCTTCTATCCTCTCCTATACTTTTAACGCTTTAAAAACGATAATAGAATTATTGTATCTAATTGTTGGTAAAGTAAAAGTAGGGGGAGGAAAAATTGAAGTTAGAGGTGGAGAAAAAGGTAGAGGAAAAGGATACACATTTATCCAAAATATTATTTTCTTACTTGATTATTCTCTCACTATAGAACGAAAATCTATCGGTCGCAACGCCACGTTCTTTTAACACCGATCGATTAAAGCACTTGCATCCGATTTTTCCGCGTCAACGACATTAGGATATTCGGTACTCTCTTTCTTCCTTCCGCCCCCTCCCACGATCATCCTCCTTCCCATCGAGTTAAACATCCCCACTCCAACCCCATCAGTTTACTCCACGCACGGTCATTCTCACTCTCTCTCTCTCTCTCTCTCTCTCTCTCTCTCNTCTCTCTCTCTCTCTCTCTCTCTCTCTCACCTGCTCGCTATTCGCGAATAAGGTAGATGCGCACGCACCTCAGTCGGCGCGGCTCCTTACAACTAGGAACGCGCGTGATTCTCAATTAGAGGTTATTTTCTGTTAGATTTGGAATTGATCTTTATCGTATTTTTATAGGAAATTAAGATTCAATATAAATTCAATAAATGAAAAAGGAAATTAAAATTCTCACCCTTCTTTTTTTTCTTTTTCTTTTTAGTATTGGATTCAGAACATGTTTTAATATCTGTGTACTTATTGTTAGTAGTAACAGACACGTGCGTTAGCTAAGTATGTGCGCATTACGTGCACACTTAGAGTCAAAGAAGAATCGCGAAGAATCAATAATATTTTCGTAGGACGTTGTCGCTTAATTGCGTATAATAACTCTTTTCCCGTAGGTGCAACAAAATTCATAATGTTTGATGATGATAATAATAATAATAATAACAAAAACCTTTTTATATATAGTTTTCTTATTTCTTTTTTTTACAAATGTATATACAAATTTTGCTTACTTATATTATTCGATATTGCAGATAAATATTGGCAAATGTTTATTGATTAAAAGAAAAGAAAAGGAAAGAAAATAGATTAAAAACCAAACCTCATTCGTATTTAGGTTTCTTTGAGTATTGGATTTTTCGTTATGATGTCACTACCCTCATTTTCGACAGTATCGTAAGTCCACTTACGATTGATCCTAAAAAAAAGGAATGCACTTTTCTTTATTTTGGCACAAGTAATTGACATTTATTTATTTAAACATAGGACATTATTTGTAACAATATTTTAATGTAGATAGAAAAAGAAAAAGGGGAAAAATAATCACCTGCATTCGTGTCCACATTTTCGAGATCTACATTTAGGACATGGAAAATGACATCCTGCGCATTCTAAACTTAAGCAATCGCATAAATTGTCTCCAGTTATAATCCAAATACCTTCTTCGTTGTACAAAGTATGCCGTTTATTTCCTTGATATAAACGACGATGTAATTTACGTTTCTCTCTTTCGCTACGTTCAGGATCGAAATTTCGTAGAAATTTTTTAGTTACGTTGTCCACTGCTTTTTGCCTCGAAGCTCGACCACTTCTCTATACATTTACATAATGTAAAAAATAACAGAAAGGGAATAATATATTTATCTTTCGTGTATTTTTCTCATTTTTGTTTGTTTTTTAATAATTATAGTATAATAATATAAATAAATAATATAAATTATTATTCTCTCCCTTGTGCATTCCTTTAAATAAAAATATGTATATATCAATATTTACAGATCGTAACTGCACTTCTCCACTGCTTGTTTGTTGCATTGCTCCTTCTCCGGAAGACGAAGTAGTTTCTATGTTAGTTTTCAACATTTTTAAATAATATTAGTTGTAAATAAAATGTAATTATATATAAGTGTTGATTATTAATACTAATAGGCACAATTATATTGTATTGTATAATGTTGCAAAGATAAACGGCGAAAGTATAACAAATAACGCAGATTCTTAACACGATAACATAACCTAGATTATCGAATATTTAAATATTATATAACAAAAATCCCTTTTTACATATAATTTAAAAAACCTTTACATCTATTTTAATATGTACATTTTTAACTATATAAGATACTTTATGTTGAAAAAAGTGTTGTTTTAGAATTTATTTTCAATGAATACAAATTTTCTCTTCCAAAAACTGATGTAATCTGATTGGTTAACCCAAAGAGCCTATAATACAAGGAAGACGATCGCTGTGTATAAATGTGGGTACAATATTCCCAATGAAAGGATGATTTCTATTGCCACTAAAGAGCGCGTCTAGTCGCTTGATCTGATTTTTAAAAACAGTAATTAAAACAAAAACATCAAAAAGAACTATTAATTTCATTTGTTTATTTATAAAATCACACGTACTTAAATTTAAACTTAAGAACATTACCGTCCCTCGTGGATAATTATCGTACTCGATATTCAGTCATTTTCAACAACACAAATTCGACGCAAACGTCTATCTCGATCGTTCTCTTTGTATATTGATTCAACAGAGCTATCGATTCGATTCGTTTGTATTTTATAACATAACCTAACTTTAAAGTATATGGAAACGCATGGTTGTTTATTATATGTAAAAGATTTATTAGTTTATAATGGGTAAAGCAAAGGAGAAAGTAAAAATATATAAGAAAAAAAAACAAATTCCTGAGAAAAAAATTATCGAGGATCTACAATCTAAATATAATGATGTAAGTAATAGAATAAATTTTAATCGCAATGTATAACCTATCTCATTTAATTTCAAATATTATCTTTCATTTTTAGATTGATGAAACTAAAATAACAAAGTTTATTCATTTGCCATTATCGAATAAGACACTGAAGGGATTAAAAGAAAATGATTATGTTGAATTAACGGATATTCAAAGACAAAGTATTGGGTTGGCTCTGAAGGGTAATGATATATTAGGTGCAGCAAAAACTGGTAGTGGAAAAACATTAGCATTTCTTGTACCTGTAAGAATTTAGTTTTCAAATTCTATATATATAAATATGTCATATTACTTTATTATATCTTATATAATGTTATATTAATACATTATTATTTTTATAGATATTAGAAATTTTATATTGTAAGCAATGGACAAGATACGATGGTGTTGGAGCGCTTATTATCACACCTACGAGGGAACTTGCCTATCAAATATATGAAACATTACGTAAGGTTGGTCGATACCATGATATATCAGCAGGTCTGATTATCGGTGGAAAAGATTTGAAATTTGAAAAGACACGTATGGACCAATGTAATATAGTTATATGTACACCAGGTCGTTTACTTCAACACATGGATGAAAATCCTCTCTTTAATTGTGTCAACATGCAGGTATATATTTTACTACAATTTAAAAATTATATTTATTTATATAGATATATGTGAGAGAGTAGATAAAATTATATTTTTTATTTACAGATTTTAATTCTCGATGAGGCAGATCGTTGTTTAGATATGGGTTTTGAAAAGACTATGAATTCTATCATTGAAAATCTACCACAAGAGCGAAAAACGCTTTTATTCTCAGCGACACAAACCAAGTACTTATTTTTCTTTTTCTTTTCTTATTTATTGTGGCCATTCTAATCTTCCTTTAATGTTTTTTATTAGATCAGTCAAAGATTTAGCTAGGTTAAGTTTAAAAGATCCTATGTACGTTTCTGTGCATGAACATGCTGAACATACCACTCCTGAAGGACTTCAACAATCTTATATTGTTTGCAATTTAGAAGAAAAAATAGCAATGTTATGGTCTTTCTTAAAGAGTCACTTGAAACAAAAAATAATCGTCTTCTTTTCTAGTTGCAAACAGGTATTGTAAAACATTATTTACTTATTATGTTCTACATTAATCATTTTATTAATTATAATAATTGGAACACATTTATGATAAAGGTCAAATACGTATACGAATCATTTTGTCGATTACGACCAGGAATTATTTTATTATCTCTATATGGTACTCTTCATCAACTTCGAAGAATGGAAATTTATGAATCATTTTGTAAAAAGCATCATGCCGTATTATTTGCTACGGATATTGCTGCACGTGGATTAGGTAAATTATTATTTCAATATTCATTTCTTTTGTAAAAAACTAGCGATTGACTAATACTATTTTAGATTTTCCTGCTGTAAATTGGGTTGTCCAAATGGACTGTCCTGAAGACGTGAATGCATATATTCATAGGGCAGGTAGAACAGCTAGATTTCAAGCAGGTGGAGAATCATTATTAGTTTTGTTACCATCTGAATTGGAAATGGTTGAACGACTTCAGGATCGTAAAATACCAATAAATATGATAAAGTATGATTATGGAAATAATATATAAAGCTTCATGTTATGATAAGTATACATAACGATTATTAATCATTTATTTCATGTTTAGAATTAATCCAAATAAATTATATTTGCCACATCGCAAACTCGAAGCACTATTGGCCCGAGATGTACATTTAAAAGAAAGCGCAAAAAGAGCTTTCGTGGCATATGTTAAATCAGTTTTCTTAATGAAAGACAAAAAAATATTTAATGTAAAAGCTTTAAATACCGATGAGTATGCCAAATCGTTAGGTTTAGCTATACCACCAAGAATCCGATTTTTACAAAAGGCGCAAAAAAATACTTCTAATATAAAAAATAATATAAATAAGGAAAATGAAGAAAATGTAAATTTAAAAATACATGATAATAAAGAAACAAGTATAAATATTAATTCTAACGAATCTGATAGCGAGGAAGACGACGATGTAATGAAACCTATAGAGAAATATGATAATAGTTATTTTATGAATGGTAAGCATAAATATCAATTTTTAATGAAAATATAAATAATTTTTTCTATTTCTTTTATTGTATAGATGATAGCGACGATGATTTATTGACAGTAAAGAGGAGAAATATAGATATTGATGATATGTCTGACGTTGTTGAAAATACAAAAGATAAGAATAATAAGAAAAAAGCTATTACGAAAGCTGCAATAGCAAAAAAAATACTTAAAAAGAAAATTATTCCTAATAGTAAAAAAACTTTTGATGACGATGGAGAGGTAGTATTTCCATCATACTTGTATAATATTACTTGTGAATATACTTATTACAAATTTTTATTTTGTTTTTTTTAATTTAATTTCAAAATTTTTAGGAAGTAATAGATCCAACGAAAAGCAAAGTATCTGAATTGGCTAAGAAATATGAGAATGAAATAGATTCGGGTATTGACATTGAAATAGCGAAACAAGTTTTACGCGAAGAAGATCAATTCGATAAACGAAGATTTAGAGACAAAATCAAGGAAAAACATCGCCAAGAAAAACTTAAATTAAAAGCTCTTAAAAAGGGAAAGAATAAAGATACAAGCGACAACGAGGAATTGCAGGAAGAAAATAACGACGAAGCGAGTGAAAGTGAAGTTAGTGAACAGAATCTTTCGTGGTTGCCAGATCCAGATAAAATGTATGGAGAACAAAACGCAGGCTCCAATGAAAATTCTCTAGATAATTCAGAAAGTGAAGAAAATAGCATAATTCATGTGTAAGTTGACAATTAATATTTAATCGTAATATATATATATATATATATATTTTCTATAAGTACGCAGAGTTATATAAATGAAATTTTATATTATTGCAGTCCTCCAAAGAGAAAACTAATAGAACAAAATGGTGGAATTGCCAAAAAGAAACCAAAATTAACCAATGAAATTAATAATTCCAGCTTAAAAACAGTCGAGGAAATAGCTTTGCAACTTTTACAACGATAAAATGAGTTAAAATTTTTATATGTATTTATGATATAAAAAATTGTGAAGAGAAATCGTGTTATACAAAATATTTTTTTAATTCTTTTGTCTTATTTGTATAGTTTATATAGAATATAAATTACAGGATTATAGAAATTACACGCTACACATTTATATGTATGTATAATATTAATACTTCATTAATCACTTACATGTTTCATTGACTTAACAAGATTATTTACAAAATATATTTTACATTACTTCAATTGTAGATTAAAATCAGAATACTTAATGGCACGTTTTATTATTTAAAAGACAATAATGAAATATATGAATTATTCATGATATTAATTTCATTTTACATTTTGCAAACGAAATTACCCCTACTTAGTATTTGGAGTAATTCCTTTCCATCCTACTAAGACTTATACAAAATAATATAGCAACATGTCAGAATTAAAAATGTATCTTTATGATTTATAAGATTATCGTTTGTTATTTTATTTTTTATACAAAGAATCTACAGGTAATACGTCACGTAATATTCATTTACTGCTAAATGTGCTTATTCTGATGCTATTTTAATATGTTTTATTATAACATCAACAACTTCCCTACTTGTAGCTTGACCGCCAAGATCACGCGTATGTATTCCCTGATTGATAGTTTTATTTATTGCATTTTGAATCAAGATAGCATGATTTTTGTGCCCCAAATGACGCAACATATCGACTGCTGCATTTAACATAGCAATAGGATTAGCAATGTTTTTTCCAGCAATGCTTGTGCCGGTGTTACGAGTACCTGGTTCAAAAATTGTATAATGGTCGCCGTAATTTTTACCGGCTAATAATCCTGCTCCACCTAACAGACCACAAACTACATTGGAGACAATAGCTCCATATAAATTTGTAGTAAGTACGACATCAAACTGATGCGGGTTAGAAACCAATTGCATACAAGTGTTATCGATGATCATGTCATTATGAGCAATATCTGGATAATCTTTAGCAACATCTCGCGATATTTCTAAAAACAATCCATCTGAAAGCTTCATTATATTAGCTTTATGAACTGTAGTAACCTTCTTTCTTCCATTTCGCTTAGCATATTCAAACGCATAACGTGCAACTCGTTCAGAATTAGACCTAGTTATAACTTTCATGCTTTCAACAACTCCACTTACGCTTTCATGCTCTAACATAGCGTATTCTCCTTCTGTATTTTGTCTAACGATAACGATATCAATGTTTTTTTGGCGAGAATTAACACCCTTATAAGAAACACAATGTAAAACATTCACATAGAGATCTAATTCATTACGTAGGGCAACATTACGAGAAAGTACTCCAGCTTCTGTACTACGTGTTTCTATATTCCCTTTCAATGCTACTCCATTTCTACGAATTGACGTGATTGCATAATCTAAATCATCGTTATTATCGGCATTGGGATCAATATCTATATCTTCAAAGTCTACGGGTACACCCGCATACCGGAAAACCTAAAATATAATTCATTTAACTAAAACATAACAAAAATAAGTTTTACACATATAGTTCTTCAATTTATTTTCATTATTATTCTTAATAGCTTAATTTATAACTATCTGAATTAATTGCTAACGTACCTCTTTAACATATCCCATTAACTCAGGTCCAATACCAGCTCCAGGTAAGACCGTTACTGTATGTCGTCCACCATAATGAGCCTTTGGTATTGGCATGGTTTTTTTTATTGTAGGCGTTTTATGTTGAATTTCAAACGCTGATTGAGAGGCACAACGGTGTATTTGCTGTATCACTGTTTTTGATTGCAAATATCTAAGAGCTGAACGAGCAGCCATTTCGAATTATTTTATCTATCAGATAATAAAAAGAAATTTTATTCAAATTTTCATATCCTAATATGAAGAAAAATAATTATAATTTAATAGATCTATTACTTAATACCTACTGTATATTGCAATTCTATTTTCAAAGTGCTTTTAAGGTCCTTCAGATATAGAAATAAGAACTGTTTGCAAGTGTAAAAATTAACATTAGGTCTGCTTTAGATTTATAATAGAGATTCTAGCGATGTGATTGGTCAGCGAACAGATTCTAAGAAAATAATAATTAAAAGTTAGGTTTACATTGTTTTAATAAAACAACTTTGAAGTTAAATAAAATTATAAACTTGATTTTGTAATATTACTTGATATCGCAAGTATAATTTAATGTCAATATGTGGACAATGATTTAGTTTTCCGCAGTACTTCTGATTGTAACCCTCATCACTTTTTTGAATAATCATTTGCTATTAATTCCTTATAATATTATTCATTTAATTATCACTATATAACATTTAAATCAATTATAAATCTCTATAAACAAGTATAGTATATTATTGCCAACGTATTACATAATTTTTAATTTAGCGTATATATCGCGGGTTAGTTTTTAGCCAATCAAATTGCATTCACCATGCCACTTTAATTTACGTGCCAATTAGGTAACCTATCGTAATCGTGCTATGAGAGAACGTTTGTACAATAATCTATTGTTCCAAACCAATAGAAAAACAGATATGTTCGAATAATAGAATTTTTTTACAATAAAATAATCTTATAATATTTAAATAGTTCTACTAACTAATAAAGAACTAAATACTTTCGGATTTAAAGTATTCGGAAACCGAAAGTTTTACCATAATTTTAAAAACAAAGTTATTGAGCACGCACAGCATATACAAAAATTAACATTTATATTTTTTCTTTATTTAATATTATTAATTTTATATATTCAGCATTTAAATTATTATATGTTAATATCAGTATGTCAATATCAGAATGTTAATATTGTATGTTAATATCAGAAATATTGAATTCACTTTTCGTTTTATATTTATTGATTTGTTACTTGGTACTCGCCATTTAGAAAACTTCATGCGAATTTAAATTTCGCGGTACATTAAAAGCACTTGTCACGTGACTGCAGTTGTGTGCCACAAGACTTAAATAAGTCGATCAACTATAAAACTATGTTAGTTTATGGATTGCTTGAGCAACGAGATACTTAAGATGGTATCAAGCTGTGTATAAAAATTGTGTAGAAAAGCTCAAATAAAAGAAATTCTTGTAAAAATATATTTGATGAGAGAAAATATTATTAATAAAAAAAAGATAAAAGAAGAAGATAAAATTGTGACCGAATGACGACATTATAGAGTAACAAAATTATTCAAAAAACATTAATAATATGAGGAAAGGTTGATATATGCTTGTATAAAGTGATACGAGGTGTCTAAGAGAGTATTGGTAAAAAGAGCTGTAGCGGTGAAAGGGGTAAAAGAAGAGAAGTAGGAGAAGGGAAAAAGAGAAGGAAGAAGAAGAAGAAGAAAAGGCGAAGGGGAAAGAAGAGTAGAAGAAGTAGGAGAAGGAGGTGGTGGTGAAAGGGGAGAAGGAAAAGAAGGAGGAGCTTATCTACAGTGCAGATCGTGAGGGCGCGGGGCCGCGACCCTGAGCCCGATACGCGCAATATTATCCTGGATAGAAAGAGAGCCGAACCGATAGTAGAATAATATAGTTGTGGTAAATGCAACCGAATGCCTTGGAATATTTATCTAAGAAAGTTTTATTCGTATGGAATACAAGTGAGGTACCAGGATAGTTTAATATACTGAGATAGATATCATTAGAGTGTATTAAAGGTCAAGAGTTCATGATCGGTTAAACGGAAGGGAAGCGATGATCTGGATCTTGCGAAGAGTTTGATGACAAACTTTGTTTCTTCGTTTATTCTTTTCCAAAAGAATATTTTTCTCTACCCTCTACACAAAGATCTCAAGTAAATTTAAATCATTTTTGTGTTTGAAAAGAAATATTTTGTTTAGTAAGGTGTGCCGAAAGTAAGAGAAAGAAAGAAAGAAAGAAAGAAAGTGTTAGCAAATAGTACAAGTGTATGCGGCTGTGCGACGAGTGATAGTTTTTTTTCCTTCTCCTCCTCCTCCTCCTCCTCCTCTTCTTCTTCCCTTCCCTTTCTTCTTACCCCATCATATTACACACACACACACATACACACATATTAACCAAACTTAGAATTATCTCTCTGTTAAGCCAGTCTTTTTTCTACTTTGTTAAAAGTGTTTGCTCGTGTGCGTAATCGTTTATCAAATTCAAAAATGCCGCTGTTCGGTAAGAAAGATTCTAATAAGAAAATGAAGAAGGATGGAAAAGACGATAAATCACCATCCGTCGAGGACAAATATATTTTAAAGGAATTACTTGGAACGTGAGTTTTAATTAACATATTGTTTTTGTATGTACACACTTACATATATATATATATATATATATATACTTACATACGTAATGATACGTAACCTTCTTCTTAACTCTTATGTAGATATTGTTTGTTGAAAGTATCTCTACCACATGGACATGTGTTTCTATTTATTTATCTCTTTTTATCGGTTCAAACTGTGATTCCACTTGTTTTTTATTGATAACATGTAGAAATTGCTTGATAGTATATAATATTTCATGTTCTGTACTAAATTCATCAATTTATTTACATTATACTTGATACTATTTTGTTATTAAAAAAAAAAAATGTTATTTTATTTTTAATGTTTTATATTTTAATTTATATATTTATTTTTATAACAGGTTTTTTCTACATACACTCACACACACATATGCATATGTTTGAAAATGTTGCAAGACATTTCTATAAATAATTTGTTTTCTTTAATGAAAGTTATATATGAATTACAAAAATAAATTGCAGAAAGTATCATTATGTTATAATTTATCTTGTCAGGTTGAATTCATTTGAAATTTATTTACATATATATATAGAAGGTGTCTTGTAACTATTAGTACAAGTCAGCAGGAGATGATTTTACGTGAAAAATTAAGTCAAAAATATAGAATACAATTTGTTCTTATAAGACTTTGTTCTTGAATAAAATAAATTTGAATATTTGTCAAGTACTTGACAAATCACTTGATTCAATTTGCAATCTTAGAAACTAAAAGCCTTGTCAGATGAGGATAAAAGTAGAACCGATACAAGAAATTTCATCATACTGATAATGTTTGTAAACATATTAAAAAGTATAAAAATGTTCTCCGAAATATCCAAGAGTAAGATAGTAAAATTCGTCTAACTGAAAATGAATCAAGTATACATGTACTAGACAAATTTAACTTACTTTTCATCTCTACCCCAAACCGTATACTAAAATTCTTTACAGGTAATAATATTAATATATACATATCGTAAGCTTTTTTTCTCATACAGGGGTGCATTTTCTGAAGTAAGGTTAGCAGAAAGTAAAGAAAAACCGGGGCAAATGTTTGCAGTGAAAATAATAGATAAGAAGGCATTGAAGGGAAAAGAAGATTCTTTAGAAAATGAAATCAAAGTATTGAGAAGGTAAGATAATTATTTCTATTTACTTAATAACGATAAAAATTGTATGATGTGTTGAGTTTTCAAACGCTAACAGGTGGTTGATTGATAATTTATTAGCTTTCTAATCGCTCGGTTCAACGTTAGTACTTTTTTGCATGTAGTTTATAATAATATATGCTTTTTATATAGATTATTCATTTTCCTGCCTGCATACCTTTTTCTTTCCTTTTTCTTTCCTTTTTTTCTTGTACATTATATTACATCTGGGATTTTAGTAATAATCGACAACACATTTATATATATATTATTTTGTAGTTAATAATATTATATTTTTATCATAGCTTTATGTACATATTGTTATATCTGACAAACTTATTTGTAAAAGAAAGAAAAGAATAAAAAAGTGACTAATATTCATCTATGTTCTGGCATAATTACATAGTGACATTTTGATGAACTTTAATAATTATCAAAGATTTCTTCTCTTTTTTTTATATATATAAAATACATGACATTTTATTAAATATAATAAAAAATAATCTAAAATAATTAATTAAACAGTCTTTAATATTAAAGTAAAAGTATTATGTCATAGCATACTTATTTAAAAGATAGATAAAATATAGAAGATATAAATGCAATAGCACTTAGAGATAAAAATAAATGGTATCAAGTAAAGAAAATATATTTGAATGCTCTATAATATACAATGACATAACGCATAAAAATAATAAACAAATTTATATATATGTTTGTCCCATTTGACCTTGATTTTGAGTTATAATTATTTTTAATTTTATATCAATTATTTATCAGTCTTAATAGAAATTGTTTCAAGTAATCATTTTCGATTGAAATATAAACATCTGAAATATCTACTTACCAATTTCCTAGTTCATCGAAAAGAGTTTAGAAATTACTTGAATTTCCTGGCAACCTTCTTCATTATGTTGCCAAAGTCTATCAGCAGAATATAGAATGAATTAGTAGTTTCGTTTGACTCAGAATTATTAGAACAAAATACTTTTGACTTGGAGACAAGGTTAAACGGAACAAATAATAATGCAAATCTTACTATTTCTATATACCAAATCTACCGATGTAAATTTATGTTTAGTTGTATATGATAGTACATTTTCTGGAAAATGCAAATAACTAATTGCTATTTCACATTTTTAAGTACTGTATATTTCTATAATAATACAGAGTAGTTTATAGTATTATATTAATTTAGTTTTTTTAACAAAAATTGGAGTAAACAAATATAAAATTAGAAAAAATAATTGCATATAGATTATATTAGATTCTATAATATTTATTTCAATTGATATAACAATTAGTTTCTTTTTAATTAGAACAAATAGTTCAAAAAATAGTTGAAATAATTTAAATTACATGAACTACCCTGTATAAATCCAAGTTGGTATCTTGTGTGTCATCACATTATATGCTGGATCATTTAAGACTTTCTTTTCTACTAAATAATTTATGTCATACGTATATAATTGAAAATTAATTTTCGTGCAAAAATGATACAAATTTAATATATATTTTTTTTTTTTAACTTTTTGATAAAAGTTAATCATAAATTTTCAAATTCTTTTATACAATGCATTTGATTATCTTGTATTACCACATGCATTCTGCTTGGATTAAAAGAATCTCTCTCTGTCTTTCTCTCTCTGTCTTTCTCTCTCTCTCTCTCTCTCTCTCTCTCTTTTTCTCTCTCTCTC